CACCACTCCCATGCACTGTGATGTGCCACTCACCGGTGTGTGAGTTCCCAGACCTCACAAACAGAGCAGGCAAGCAGTCCAGGCTGACGTCCACCCAGCCTATCCCAGCCTGACGTCCACCCCTCTCCCCACGCCAGAAGCCCTGCCACTTCATCTTCGCGATGCCAGCTTGAAGCATGAGCGGGACACCACAATATCAGTTTCGAACCAAGAAATTACCCCCAGAACCCTATTGTGGCAGGAGCCATGAGGGCGTGTATTTCTGCTTCCCCAAAACAAGAAAATGTTGAGGGTCGCACAGGGCGAAGCGGGGCCTTCCAGTTCCTGAGTTGACTTGAAAAAGGTTGAGAGTTTCAGCACTCACACTCGGGCATGCCTAGAGAGTTTTATTTTGTTTTTGAGGGCCCTTTTCCGTCTGCCAGGTACTGACTCGGGAATCCGCACAGCGGAAGGCACTTGCCTAGAGAGTTTAGGGCTTAGGGAAATCTGAGCTGGTTGCTCAAGACCGTGGCATTCCACGGGCTCGGCGCAACCAAAGCTACGGAAGAACATTCACTTTGCAGTTTACCTGCGAGAGCAGCTTAAGCCCCGCACCTCCCGATCCTGCAGCACCTACATCTACTTCGGATTGCCTAAGCCCGCTGTCCACAGTTCGTGTACATCTCAAAACTTCGGCGCTGTCTTCCAGGAAACTTTGATGGAGTTCACCATTTGAACCAACGCTCAATCGGACAGTGTTCCCCCTCAAGTTGGGCCTCCAGCCAAATGTTGGCAAATATCCACCCAAGTAGCCCTTGAAGACATACTCGTGTATGTGTCAGTCTAATCAGGTCGGCTGTAGCTGGGCATAATACCTGAGGCGATCGCTTTCACAGGTCATGTTCACGCGGACCGCATTGAGCACATCATCTTCTGACACGCCTGCACAGAGTAGGGCAGGCACACCGGGCATGGCATGCATGCGCATGCATACTTCTCTGAAACAGCCACCTACACCAAAGCTGCCAGCTCATTCTGAAAGCCTATAAAGCCCCCACCCTCTCAGAGCTTCATCGCACGACTGATCGTGCTATGGCGAAGAAGGGAAGACGAGCAACAACTCTTTGAGGTGCAACGCCTTGGCTGTTGCCCCAGCATTCCATGAGGTTCCTCAAGCAAAGAGTCCTGCCAGAATGGCCAGCATCCGGGTCTCACAAATTTTCGAGACGCTGTCGCTGCTTGCTCTTTGTCCCACTGAAACTCCAGAGCAACAGGGTGCTACAAGATCCATGGTGGCAGGTCCCGTTGCCATCCACATGGAGACCATGCGGCCTGATTCGCACAAACGTGTGCAATGCCATAAGGAAGGTGTGTGGACTGCTTCTACATTACTCATCCTCTGCAGCACTCAAAGATCAAGACCAGTCAAGCTTCACTGCCATCAAGTCGTGAGTTATGGCAACCCATGCAGGAGCCGCACTTCCATGTCTAATGACACCCCTGAATTCAATCTCGAGGCACGGCTGCTCACCTAATACTTCACACACAGCAAGCTGTCCTGCCTTTTGTCTGAATACCTCCCCAAGACCGCCAGCTTCTTGGAGATCCACTGCAGCGTTGAATCTTTGTTCTTCCTCAGCTCCCGATACTTGACGTGTCTTCCGGCTCCACAACTGCACCACTACGACCTCTTCGACATGTTCTTACTTTTCCAGCATGCTTGCAAACTATTGGTTCTGAATTTTCCGACGAGCCAATGGAGGGCTGTTCTGTTCGACCGCAGCATGCGGTTCTATTATCCTGGCGGGACTCGTGCCCACTCATCGGACAAAGGAGTTCACTTCCAGGGGATCTTGTTCTCCTTGTCGGCAGCATTAGGATCTCATCAGGGTAGGGCACGCCGGATGTGAGATTGCAACGGCTCTGTTTGGACGGAGTATCCTAGCTCGCCTTCAGCCCACTCTCCCTCTCGCCCGTTGTCGTGTTTCAGAATCGAGTCAGTGCATGCCACGCCGCGTGATGCTTGCATTTCTCTTGCACGCGACGGATGCGCCGGTGTATCATCAGCCTAGGAGCTCATCGTGCTTTGCCCCGCGCCGTGGGCGTGGTATGCTTCCGCCAGTGCTCAGCAATGCTCGACTCCCCAAGGAGACGAGACGGCGCTGTCTATGACGCGCTTCCAATGTCTCCAGGGCTGTCTTACTGCTAGTGGCTGGCTCGCTCTTTGCGCATGCTGCAGATGTCCCCCCGCCCCACCCGAATTTTTGGACTTTGGACTTCTGCGTGCACAGTAATCGGGGAACAGCACTGTGGGGGTCGCTTGCTGTCTGACGGGACTAGAACAACGGCCGACAATTCCTGGCTTTGGGTTGTCACCCACAGTCTGGGCAGTTGGAGGTGCAGACCTCTCTCTGTCCCCCGATACTGCCGAGAGCTCCGCAGTTCACTGCACGGCGATTTCCGATTGCTGAGTGCGCTGTTTCACTTCTCTTGTTCTCTGTTTAGCACTTTGCGTGCACCGAGACAGCTTTGCCGCAACGAGGCCGCTCCACGCCGAAAAACGCATTCGGATCTCATGAGGCATGCCACCTCGCCGAATCCAAAAACACTTCGGCATAAGGTCTTGGTCCTGGCGGGTGGAAGGTAGTCCTTGCCGTGTCAGCACGGTCTGTGGCTGTCCGGCTACGCAGGCACCTCTTTGGTTTTTTGCCGTCCGAGTTCCGGGCCAAATCTGACAGTAATTGCATCAAAACTCTGCATCTTACAATCAACCGCTAGACGCTTCGGCCGGGACACGGGGAACGCGATCGGTGGCCTCCCCACCCCATGGCCTGTGCACAATCATCGAATGGACAAGGCAAGAGCCAATGGCATCACTTTGCTTATCACGGTTCCCAGTTGCAGATCACAAGTTCAGGCATGCCGCACAGGCCTCGCATTCAGGGAATTCGCCTTAAAAATTCCTTAAAGCCCTCGGGGCCCCAGCAGGCACCTTGTCAAGAAGTTGCATTCTGAGACTCCGGGATCCGTTGAATTCAACTTGCAGGATGTAAGGCAAAGGAACGATACCCGGCTCTTCCCACTCGATTCAGCCTGGCACCGAAACAACCGGCCCAGCGATCTCTGAATGTGCATACACACCTTCTCGTTTCTAAGCTATGTAGCCGGCGGCTCCAGCTGCATCAACACGTGCCACGACGGCCGCGTACAGAACTCCAAAACTACAGACCGTGTGAATCCGTGGCATGAAAAAGTCAACGCATGGAGCTACAAGCTTTGTCGGCAAAACATTTGGCCGAACGGTAACTTAACATGGCCTCGGTACTGGGCATGTTCAACTCGCATTCGCACATGCTCCTGGAGTATTAAATGGTGAACGCAATACCCCAAGACTCCCAAGGCATGCCCTGTAAGGCACCTCGATCTTTCAGCTCCACCAATTCCAGGCGGGCGTTGACTTGCGCTCTGCTTGAATGCTTCGCTCGTTCTATATACTGTCTGATTTTGCAGCTAGCAGCGATTGCAGATACTGGTTTGGTACCGGTTTTGTGGAAACTTGGCGGCAAATGCTCAGTATCCTCAGGTGCATACCCCTCGCCTGTGTGTCGGGCCAAAAACACGGGTCAACGAATACGCCATTCACTGCGCTCGCTTGGCATGAACATGGCATCGACGAAAGATGCACAGAAAGCCACAGAAAGCCTCATCTCAGATATGTCGATCCTGTTTGGCTCTCAACGGCAAAACCAGACTGCCGACTCGTGCTCGCTTTGCAAGCAGGCATCCTTCATCAGCAGAGCAGCGGGTGTGCTTTGCCACCCTTGCTTTGAATCCATCGAAACCCATACAGCGCCTGACAAACAGTAAAGGCTCGTGTGTAGACCAACACCTGCACCTGCTCAACAGGAACGCCGGCTACGTGGCTACACCGATTTAGGTCCCACATACTAGCAACCATACCCCGAGTGCGTTCCTGCAGATTCTACTTCCCCAATCCCTTGCCTAGCTGTGTCAGGAATACAGCACTCCGGCTCAGCCTGATTTCCTGGGCTGCGCCTCCATCATGCGGACATGAACCTGGCATCGAACCAGGCCCAACCGATGCAAGGTTTTAGGATTGTGTCTCGGATTTCTTTAATGCTCTCGTCAAACCGATTACGCTGGCAACTTCGGTCTATAATGGAATGTAGCGATCGCCGGAGGACCCACACTAAGCACAGAAGCGCCAAAGCAACAAGTAGAATTTCTGTGGTGGGACGGCAGGGGTTTAAGACTCTGGCATGCTAGAAGCCGCAGTTTGCAAGGAAATGCCTCCGCACTCATGAACTGCTCCAGCCCCTTACCTACGATGCGCAATGAGCTGTCACAGCAATTTCCCTTCTGCTTGCCAGCCACTGCCCACTCTCGGAGCACAACAAGCAAGCCCGTCATTAAACCAGTTTCTGGGCATACAGCGTTTCAACAGGCAGCCGCGGTTTAGGAATTCTTTCGGCTAACTTTTGCATCCGGTCTGCAGCGACGGCTAACTAATTCACTGATCCTTCGCAACTCGGAGATCTTCCCGACCCTCGGCATCATCGGGCATCCTGCTTTGGTGTGTGTTTTTGCATCCCATGGCTGGTATCGGCGCGAGCTCCTGCTGAACGGAGTCGACGACTCTGATAACGGAGGCTCAAAGTCCCGCTTTGGGAAAGGTTTTAAGCGATATTATTATATCGGGGCAATCGATAGAAGTGCTGTGGGTCTTCTCAAGCACTACTTCTTGGGCAGCTGCCAATAAGGACATTCAGCCTAGGTTCAGACACGTGCAAACTATCATCTCACGATGATCTCTGACAGGATCATCTGGCCAGCTGCAGAAATTGCTGATTCACCTTCAAGCAGCAATCGGTGAAACAAACAACGTGTAGTAAACAGACATTCCATCTGTGTCATGATCCGCACAATGATCCGATAGAGTCCTTACGGCGGACAGGCAGAACCCACGAAACTGCCGCCCAAAGGCAATTTGTCTCCGCAGTCTAGTCAAGCACCAGCGCCGCAGCCTGAGCAGCGTACAAAGAAAGGCATCCAAAGAACCAAGCGAATTCACAGTATTAAAACGTTAATTCTGGAGGCATTCATTTCATGCCTGCAAGTAGACCAACACTGGCAACTGGCAAGAGGGCACGTATTTGCAGCCTCATTTCTGCAGCAGCATGGAATCTGTATTTCTCAAGCCTTGAAAGTTGCACATGCACGTCATGCACATGAGCAAGCTCACGATTTCAATTGCCTCTGCCGTGTTGTTGCAATTTGAGTAAAGTCGACATGTTTCAAGTGTTGAGCTCCATAGGTGTCAAGGCTTACCAGCGAAGTCTGCTTCTGGCACATGTTCTGCTGACTGTCCGCCCCCGATGCCTGATGCTAAGAGTTGTGCTTAGTTATGCATGATTGAATTTCTGACCAACCCATCAAAACAGATGTCCTTCTAACTTCTGAAAGTTGAGGAAGGGCATGGCTTCACTTCACATTGATAATTGGACTATGGTGCTCGTCAAAATGACGTTTCGTGTGGCTGTCGCTGGGCAGCGGAGCATCGTCCCGCTGTTGCCGGACCTGCTCCCTTTCGGCATCTTTAGCAAGAACATCTTTAAACACGACAGAAGACACACGTTCTCGATATTTGCCCTTGTCAGACCTAGCCTCGGCGGAATCCTAGAGGCCCAGTTGCCCGAAGCAGCGACAGAGAAGGGACACACATGCGCACATACACGGACAAAAGGACGGCTTGAACACAAACAAATCCCAGACAGGGTGGAGGAAGAATTGGCAAGAACAGTGCAAGAACTGTTTGCGAAAACCTAAACCCAATCAAGGCACAGGAGGGGATTGAACAGATCAAACCCCGCAAGCAGGGACGATAGGCTCCCAAAATTATACGACACCGTTATAAAGAAGACCCCAAAAGGGACCCTAGTTTAGAGAACTGTTGAACTAGCCACATGCAAACTGATGCCTCGTGAGCGGTGCCCTCGGCTAGGGCGCCCTGAGCCGCGGCAGCCGAAACAGCAGGCAGCTGGGCCTCCGAGTGCTCAGGCTGAGGGCGATCGAAGATACTTGGAGACTCAGAGCTTGGGACTAGTTCGTTGGCAATTTGGCCTATTTCTGATCCTAAGCTGTCACCGTTTTGCAGATCCACGCCGCCTCATGCCACACTGAAGCTCCAGCAGCTAGTAGCTGCTGGAGCATCAAGCAAGCAACGATTCTGGCAGCACAAGCGATTTGTGTCTCCTTTTGGCCGCCTCGTGCTCTACGCTGGGAGGCTCCGCCGGCGGTGGCGGAGGTCCTGGTGGCGTGCCAGGCAACGGCCCGGGCAGGCCAGGATTCGTGGCCAACAGCGGCGAAACACCCGGTGGCCGCACGCCGTTGCTGGGCAGCCTGGATGCTTGGATTATACGATGTCTGTCTAATGTGTTTACATATAAATGTCAAAGTAGTTATTTACATATATATATACACACACACATACTGAGTAGTATTCCCCCCTTGCATTTCGGCACTTCTGTACTATTGTCAATCTACCTATCTTTCCTTTCGTTCCTTCAACTATTTTATGTATTCCGCTAGTTAGTTAGCTATGGTAGTCAGGTAGTTTGTGTTAGTTTAGCTGGTTAGTTGGTTCGTTGGTTAGTTGTTTGGTTGGTTAGTTAGTTAGTTAGTTAGTTCGTTCGTTAGTTCGTTAGTTCGTTAGTTAGTTTGTTTGTTTGCTTGCTTGTTTGTTTATTTGTTTGCTTGTTTGTTTGCTTTTTCGTTTGTTTGTTAGTGAGCGAGTGAGTGAGTGAGTGAAGTGAGTGACTGAGTGAGTGAGGGAGTGATTTGGTTGGTTGGTTGGCTGGGTGGGTGGGTGGCTGGGTGGCTGGTTGGCTGGCTAGTTGTTTGGCTGGCTGGTTGTTTGGTTGGTGGCTGGTTGGCTGGTTGACGGGTTGGTTGGTTAGTCAGTTAGGTAGCCAGGTATCTAGCAAGCTAGTTAGTTAGATAGCCAGCCAGCCAACCAGCCAGCCAGTCAGTCAGTCAAACATCCAATCAGCTTAGCAGTTGGTTTAGCTAGCTTTGTTAATCCAGTTCGCCTGTTTAGCCTAGTTTTGCAGTTAGCTTAGTTTCGACTCACACACTCGCAAAGCAGGCAGGGCGATCAGCGTCCGAGATTGCTTCTGGGACATACCACCACACGCTCAAGTAATGACAGTCATAGTATCCACGGAACAGGCAGACAGGCAAGACTAGCAATGAGAAAGTGAGAATAAGAAGGTGTTATGTTATGACTGCCATCCTCAACGTGCAGGGATATGTGAAGTAAAGATGACCCTGGCGGCGTGCGTGTCACGCCCAGAGCTTGCTGTTTCAAAACATGTCTTTCCATGTCTCATATTTGAGCAAATTCGGATCGGCCACAGGACTTGGATGCACTTGCACACGAAGTGGAACTGTCTCTGTCATTCAGCAAAACGCCGGGAAGAGAGCAGAACTGTCAGAACATCATGCGGGCAGCTGTCGTCGCCATGAGTAAAAACCTCACGTTGTTGGATCCTCATCTGGTTTGATGGCTTCGTGGAGATCTGGACCACATACATGGGCATGCCAATCCCACTATGTCGGCAAGAAAATGGTCCAGTGCGCTCCCGGGAGTTTAGATTGTTCAGTTAACTTGGTTTGCTGCTAGTTACTTAGCTAGTCAGTTCGCTGGCTAATTAACTAGGAAGCTGGGCCGTTAGTCCGTTAGTCTGTTGGTCCCTGAGTCAGTTAGTCCGATAGTCACTCAGTCAGGCAGGCAGTCAGTCAATCAGTGAGTGAGTGAGTCAGTGAGCGAGTGAGTGACTGAGTGAGTGAGTGAGTGACTGACTGAATCAGTGAGTTGATGAGCTAGTGAGCCAGGCAGGAAGTTAGTTGGTTCGTTCTTTACTTAGTTAGTCAGTCAGCCAATCAGTCAGGGCTAGTTGGTTAGTCAGTCCGTCATTCGGTCAGTCAGTTTGTTCGTTGGCTGGTTCGTTAGCACGTTAGGAAGTACCTCAGCTTGTAGGTTAGATAGCGCGCTAGATCGGCACATTAGTTGCCACTAGCGAGTACGCTGGTCAGTACCCTAGTTAGTACCCCAGTTCTTCCGAGCGGCGGTGGAGGACCCCAGGCACCTGCACAAAAAGCAGTTTCGAGCCAGTTGAGGACCAGGCAGCAAGAGTAGCTCACTCGAATACAGGTGATTTTTCAAATTGTATATGGTTGCATGACTGTTGCATGGCACCACGAATAAGAGTGGCCACATGTACGAGGTAGCAAGCCCGAATCCGCCTCATGCTACGGCGACAACTACACCCAATGCTTGAAACACAACATTCCAGCCACGCGGCTTTGTAGTGGCGGCGGGTAGCTAGCGGGTGGCGGATAGCTGGCGGGCGGGAACCACGGAGCCGGCGTTGCTGGAGCTGGAGCCATCGAGTACGCCGAGGCGACCTTCGTCTAGCTGTGCAAAGCTCCGCAAGCTTCATACGAGTACGTGCAAAATCTACTCGAATCAGAAGTTGAGGGCCTGCAGGCTTCCTGATTCAGGCCATCGCAAGACAGTGTGAAGGTCTGCATGAGAGGAGTGCACCGGACACGGCTTCAGGTATCTTCAGGTTTCACCTTCCATCCTAATCGGGGTCCTGATGGCTTCCTTCCTGAGGCTCCGCACTGATTGAGCTCCGCAGGGCGCAACGGAGCGCACAGAGGCGCTGTAGATGCCACTTGGCTGCAAGTTGCCGACCTCAGCCACAGATGCTGCAGGCAAGGGTACTTGCCTTCTCAGAGTTCAAGGTGTTGGATGGTGTAACATGTGAGCATTTTGGAAAAGACCAGAAGGGAGGACACGCTGCTTGTCACTGCTTGTGTTGGCTGGTAAACCGCCATGCCCGTCTTCATTACAAGCAGCTCGTGGTTGTGGCTAAGACTTCCCTTAAGTCTCAGCTCATGTGATGGGTACCTTTGGCTGGAAGACTCCCCACATCGAAAGGAAGTGCAGAGTCAGAGGGGCTCTCAGTTCCACCAGCACTTCCCGCAAGTTGTCAGGAACAGCTCCTCGGCAGAACGCCAGCCAAGATCGGCTTGATACAGCACGCCCAGTTGGATCACTACATCTGCACACACAAGCGTAGAGCTGGAGAGGAGGCCACCTAGAAGTCTACCCGGTGTAGGGTACTGGGGGGCTCTCGACCTTGCCACGGAGCTTTTGAAGCTCTCCATTGATCCGGAGGTCTCCTGATTTCTAGGCAACAACATAGCTTTCAAATTCTTTGGATCACTAAGGCCGCCATGCCCAGCTCCTCATATAGATCCACCACGTACGCCGTTGCATGGATGATGGTGGGCCACTGGATAAGAATGCCGCGCCCTCCATTGGGCTCCTGCAAGACATCTCGCAAGTGTTCCAAATTGCCATGCAGCAACATTAGAGCCTAAGCACTAACAGAGCATGTCGCTCCTCATGTGCCTTAAACCGGAGTGCCAGGCTCAAGTGAACCCGAAGCGCATCCCTTTTCCGAATGTGTCCCGCCTCATACGGTATGAGCTCCGGCGGTGGGGGAGCCGGGATGATGCTGCCAGAGGCTGCACGCCAGTCGACCGTCGACGCGATGCCATCTTCAAGAGAGATGGTGCAAAGGAGTGCAAGCATGCATTGTGAGTCTGGTGTCAGGAACCCGAGAGTACAGGGTTTCTGAAGCCTTCAGCGATTCAGGGGTACATGTTCTATGCTCGCTTCGCTTCGGCAGTAGGGTAGCACAACGTAAGAAACTGCACCTACAAGTCCCAAAGGTATACTACCTGCTGCTTGTCACAGCCACTCCCAGGCTTTCGGCAGCAACGTTGTGATTGACCGGAGCTACGGCACTGCGGCATAGGAGAACCTGCCTGCGCTCTGATACTGCCTGGAATGTCCTCGGCATTGTCCAAGACAAGCAAGAGTGCACGGCAAACGCTCGGAAGACAGCTTCCGAAGTGTTCCGGGTTTCCTTGAGAGAATGGGCTCCTGATCAGTTGCCAAGCCCGAACACACTCCCTTTGAATCTCCCAAGCTCTTGAGACTAGTTTCCATCATCTCTGCGAGTGGACGCAGAGGGCGTCGGCTTGCCTCAACACAAAAAGTCTCCACTAGCTTCTCTCCTACTGGCCTGGTTGCTTGATCGTGAGTTCCTTGTGCACCTCTCGTCATTCCCACAATGCCAGGGCACATGGCGTCGAAACTTTCGAATGGTAGGACCGGCATCCAGATGCAGCATAATACATCACTCCTCGGCAAGCCAGAGATGTCCAAACAGCTAAGCAGCTAAGGCCGCAAACACTGGCTTCTAAACGGCACCGGGAGAGAGAAGGCCGCAGCTGGACAGCAGGTGGGGAGGGAAGGGGAAGAGGCGGGAGAGGATGGCTCCAAGAAGACAGCCCAGCAATGAGGATACTAGTCTTGCTCTGAGCCAAGACACTGGCTTCATACGGCACCTGCACAGCACCGTCTACAAGACATTCACGGCTCTGGCAGTCTTCAGGGACTAGGGCGCCGAATACTTGCCAACCGGCCTCCCGCAGGCTGTTGACGCGGCAAGCGCTGCACTGCGGGCCAAGCCTGGGCACATGCATGCGCAGATTCGGACATATTCGGACTGGGACACCACCATCGCCGGAAGAGCACAGCACGCTATCGAAGCATCCATCACATCTCTTCTCTCTGCTACTGCTTTGACGTTTCTGTTGAGGCGCTGTCTTTCTGCTCACTGCGTCTCACTGCTGTAAGGCCCTGCCGAAGCATATTATATTGCACATCGATTTAGCCGGGTGACAGTCCCTGTGGGAGGGAGGGGTGCGGATCCACGTGGTGGCCGGGCGAAACGTCCACGGGCGACCATCCTAGCAAATCCACACGAACACGCAGCTGAGCTCGTGCATGCTTGGTTGCTCCAAACCTAGCGATCAAACATCCGCAACCTGTGCCATGTTTGCACTGAGCACTGCAACTGAGCTCGCTTTTTCGTGGGCACTGGCCTGCTTCGTCCCCAAAAGGGCGCAGCTCAACAAGGTAACCTAGCAGGGAATGCCGAAGCACAGTTCGATTTTCCATGATCTTCCGGTGGCTATGCATGCGAACAAGTAAACGCGTATACCCAGAAAACTGCCAGGAAGCTTAGGACAAGCGCCAGCGATCCATCTTCTTCAATAATGCTCAGGCCAAACATATACACGAATAGAACCGCATGTCTCATGTGGATGACACTGGCACTGTTACTTTCCAGACTTACCAGTACGAAAATAAATATGTGAGTTGGGCTGTACTAGCCACTGAACCCGTAAATCTATAGAGATCGGCCAATCGGCCAAACCTGTCCAAACCGCTGTGTTTGTGCAGCCTACCTGCGTGTTTGCATGCGTGCTCATGCCGGCATATGCCGGCAAGCATACATCTATGCGACACCTACCCTCAAAATGCAAAAGTTACTGTACTGCCCCAGTCGTGCTGCGAGGTGACCCACAGCCATGCCAACTTGCTGCCATCGAACCATAAGCGCACCACCCTCCTCAAATGATTTTCCGCGGGCTTCAGACCACAAGGCGCTTGACACTTGCATCTGATGACATCTTCAAAAAATAACGCATTGTGATTGAAAAATTTGCTCTCGCAGGCTCTTCAGCTTCAAGCGTGGGCTGAGGCTGTGCAGGAAGAAGTGGGAGCTGTGCCAGGTCCTGCAGCACCACGCGGCACTCCAACCGTGCACAGAACCGGTGCTGAAGGCAGTCTTCTTTTAGTCCTGTGGAGCGCGGGCGTTAAATCCGAGGCGAGCAGCCCGGGCCTTGCAAGGAACACAAGGGCTCTTCTCCGGTAACTGCTCACGACCGCTCACTCTGTTGGAGCGGCGCCGCCAACGCTCCTTACGCTTTACCCGGCAGCTATAATGCACCCAACGTTGTTCTCTTGCCCTGAAACCTTCCACTGGTTGACCGAAATGGTCCTTTTTTGTGCCCAAACGAGAGCTACGGCAGCTACGGATTACACACGGCCAGACTGCCTTGCCATCAACTGTCATTGCAATGGCTGTGCGAAGCAGGAACTGCGCCACATCAGTCGGACCTGCAGGCAACGCTCAACGTTAAGGAAGCCCGCGCGAAATAACAAACCGGACAGTATGGGCAGGGTAGCTCAAGAACTATTCAACAGTGCTTTTGCAAGCCACAAGTGCTCTCTCCTGCACCGCTGCTGCGGGGCTCATGTGAACATTCACGATCCAGCATCAGACTTTAACCCCTTTGCATGTCTTAGGCTGAGGCTCTCCACGGGACAACTAACGACATGACCCTCATAAAGGTAAAGGAAATAAACGAGGCTGCAATTTCTCCAGTGTTACATGAGCCCTTGGAAGTCCTCTAGGCTGCACGATAGACTGAGAACGAGCCTACCGCTCAAGTCTTGTCTCCGAGCCCTCCAAAATGAGATCCTGCAGCCCTAACCCTAAACCCTTTTTTCACAAGGGACTCGACTGCTGCCCTTACTGCCCTAAACCCTAAACCCTAAAACCTAAAACCGAAAAATCTGCTCAAAACATGCGGAGAACCTCCTTGGAAGATTACGGAGGCGAAACCACCGCGAGGCCCAGCGTCCTCCCGGGCCAGGAGTGGCTCCTGCAGAAGGCTTGCGGTGCATCACGAGGAGCAAGGCTCAGAATCGCAGCAAGGAGTGTGATAGTGTTCTAATAGCTGACCAAGCAGGATGACATGCGTAGGTGCATGTGTATGTATGTACGTATATATGTACATACATTTACATATACCTACACATGCACATATACACATGCGAATGTGTGTATGTGTGTATCACGCAGTGCTGGTTGTGAAAACCCAATGGAGCGGGCAGTAGTTGTTACACAGTGTTTTTGACGATGCTTGAGCACCCAAGAAGATTCAAGGCTCTACTGGGCCAAATCCATCCGAAGGGACCCACAAAAACAAACCAAACTTGAGAGGTTTCCCATCCCAGAAGCTCCGAATTCTCCATTTTTCAACATTCCAAAGGGCGGCCTGGGCGTTGAAATTCTCGAAGAGGCGCATCAGCTCGGGACCCTTCAGGTCAGGCGGCAACCCTGCCAGGACCTTGCAGTCATGTCTGCAATCTATTCCGAAAGAAGACTGGCTGTCATAGAGCCCGAGCCCAATTTTGGTAATTCCGCGGAAATGACAACCGATACTGAAACACACACTGGGCCCACATGCGGTCTCACGCTGCATCCTGGCCACAATTCGGTCTTGCATAGCGTGCCCACCCAGGTTGCAGACAGAGTCGCCACTCCTGGCTCGGGTCTTCAACCAATGTTCTACAGAGCACTTGAGCAAGTTGAAGCTTCGGAAAGCATGACATAGCATGACCGTACTTTCCATACATGCCAGACAGCACTTCCCATACAAGCACAGCAGATCAGCCACAAAAGTCGTTGAAAGCCCCCGCTGCTTTGAGGAGTATGCACTGGGATCAAGCATACGGCGGGTGCCACATCTCTCTGCCAGGCACCTGGGGAATTCCACGTGAAAGTTGCCGAAAAGTATGGGACCCGTGCGCGAGGTCGACCTGCAACGAAAGTCTATCATCTGAGACATTCTGGGTCAGCATGACACGAGCTAGAGGTTTTGGGATGTGCAATTAGTTCAATGTGTTGCAAAAGCCGGGGCGGAATGACCCGAAAACTGACGTGCCCGCGCCTAAGCTCAGAGATCCTCGCGTCCACAACATGCGGTGACTCGCTCACCACACTGCCTCAATGCAGGATTTCGGTTGCCCTTGAGGCACATGATTTGGGAAGCACCGATAAGAGTAAGGAAGTACGGCAAAGGCTTGGCACTGGCGAAAAAGAGGAGTGCAGAGCCCTGCAAATTCAGTTCACTTACATTGAAGTCCCTCAACATCCATGCATGCACAACATCCGAAAACGTCTAGGCAATTCGGGTAGCTTGCTGAGATCCATCAGTTTTTGTTTCTGTACACGCACGGCAGGACCCTGCTACTAGACCTGCGGACTCCCAAAAAAAAACGAACCGCAGACTCGAGACGCCCGACGTTCCTAACAAAGCCTGTGCAGCCTGTTCATTCAGAAGCCTTAGCCTTAGCATGCCTTAGCCATTGGCGAGCTGCAGGAGAACAGGACCTCATCACCCACTGCCAACATCAGCTGTCCACAGTCTGCTTGGCCAAAGCGAACCTCTTTTCCTTTCGGGTCAAGAACAACTTGGTTTGACGGAGTTGTTGCAGAGGCCGACGCTACCAAAGCACTGCCACTCGGCGAACCATAGTAGATGCAAATAGCTGCACAATGCTGCGTACATGTGTCAGATCAGGCGCAAGTGGAACCTGCATCAAAGCGGCCCACAAGGGACTGCACTTTCTCTGATCCCTCTGGATCTCCCTTGATGACCTTAGGGCTTCACTGTGATAAGAGTAAGGCAGATTGACTCACGGAAATCCGGTTCGAACGGTGCCTCTAGAAGGTGCTCAAGCCTGCGAGGCTGTTCTGGTCGTTCGAAGCCCCCAGAACATCCAAAGTTTGGCCCGAAATGGGGCAGAGTAGAACTCTTCTACCTAGTCGAGGCAGGTGGCCAGGACGCCGCCTTGATCCCCGTCACGCGGGAGCTGAGCGACGTCTCCGATCCTTGTGCATCTTGGGGCTTACCACGGGCTTAGGTGGCCGACCGAGCAAGATCCCTCGAGTTCTTGACACTACGAGTAGTAGGTGCAACGCTGGGCTTGGGCGTAGATGCATCTCTTAAATTCCAGAGCTCGGGCTTGTCTTCTTCCGCTGAGGATCAGGGGCCGGACGGCCGCCACGTTGACGGCTTGCGGGTGCCCCTCGCCTGAGCACTTGAGCTTAGAAACAGTGCACCTGCCTCGCCTGACCCATTACTGGCCTACATGACGCACATGCCGACTCAATGGTGAGCTTGTCCTGGCTGATGAGCCAAGCTGCCGTTCTGCGTCACCTGGAACTTCACAGGCTGCCCCTCCTCAGGGGCACAGCTTTGGTTCCCTACAAGTACAGGGTCTCTCTCCGCAGGGAAGCTTTCGATTGAACCGTTCTAGCTTTTGCATGCTTTATCATGCTTTTGCTGTCGGCTGCCCGATCTTCAAAAACAACTGGTGCCAATCCAATCAAGCTTGTAATCCTTGGGCACAGTGGCATCCGAGCCAGATGACGGGCCTGCCACCTTCAGTTTGCAGTGAAGGTTTGCGAAAAAAACCAAGCAATGCAAGGCACTCCGTACACAACGGGCCCACAGCTGGCGCCCATGGAGGCCAAGGAGCAGGATCTTTCGAAGCTGCTGCGGCTTCCTGCAGCGAGGGCACAGGCACCACACAAGGCAGGGCAAATATGCACTCATTGCTCTACCGGTTGCTGGCCTCTTTTGTTAGATACACGTCTCGCCCCGAGAGCGCTGCGAAGTCACTGGAGGCGATGTAGCCGAAGCCCTTCTGCTCGTCGTAAGACTTTATCACACCTTGATTGGCATCTGCGGAAGAACATGCAGCAAACATCATCAAACGGTCGGCGCACACCCATATATATATATATATATGGGTGTGTGTGTGTATGTATGTATATATATATATATATCTATCTATCTATCTATCTATCTATCTCAGTTTGACTTCGGGCTTCAGATTGAAAGCGAGCTTCCATAAAAGTACACTTTCTCGGCGCCATCTCCAGCTGAAGTGCTCTTCCCAGTCACCTCCAGCACAGGCCGCAGTGGCTGGCCTATCTAGCGACAGGCCCCTGACTTGGCAGACGTGCCTGCAATGCCTCTGAAGACATAGATGGGCACCAGGCACTTCAAATCCGTTTTGCATGCCCAAACCTCGGGAGTGCAGACAAGCAGTCGGAAATTTGTCGATATAACCCGACTGACACTTCATTTCCATGATTGACATCAGCGCGAAGTTATGCTGAGGTCCCGAGAAATGGCGCTTCCGTGCAAGAACGATCCTACATTCCTCCCGCCATACCAGTTTGTGTGTTCTGGCATGGGATTTGCCATGGCATGCAACTTTTCAGCCCGTCCCATGCAAGAACAACCCTCGGGACAATTCCGGCTTGCTTGCCAAATCCCAGTGGCCCGCGCCCGGGGATGCCCCAAGCTGGCGCGGCGTCTGACTCTATCACTTGAGCCGGTTAGCAACAGCATAGAAAGGGTCAAGGCTGCAAGGTCCACCTATGACTGGGTGCAAGATGTTGAAGGATTCCGGGCCATGGGTTTAACACATGTCACGTTGGCATTTAGCCGCTTTAGCCTTTCAGGACATGGGACAAAAGATCCTGTGACGAATGCATCTCACCATCACCAATAGTCCCTCGAGGCCTCGCGACCCATCAGATCCTGGCCGGCTAGCTCCTGCAAAAGCTTGAGCACTAAGATCGTATCATGTTGTTGCCCTGCTGGTGGTGGTCAGCACAAACTTCCAAGCATGCCCGCCTCCACTGCCTTACTGGCAAGCTCCGCGGTGGCAAACTGCACTTTGCCTTGCAAGGGCAAGCAAATTTCAACATGGGAAAACAATCCTGGCTCCGCCGGCTCAAGTCAATCACTGACCTCGCCAACATAAACAGAAGAACGTTCGCGCCTGAACCTTTGGATTTCCCGGTTTCTTTGTTGGTGAACACGGCGGCATAGGTGACCTCACAGGAAGCCCTGCTTTGACGAAACGGGAAGAGCAGGTGCGATGGGAGTCAAGCACGGTCGTTTCGTCTCAGCGCGCGGGCTTCTGCAGTGCAGTCAGATGCAATCAGAAACAGGAACTGACTGCACAGGAATGTGGAAATTCTGTTCAGAAGAGAGCTATGGCGTCCAAGAGCAGTTGATTAGTTAAGCATCCCACGCAAGTGGATGCAAGCAAAAATTTGCCAATCCCAGAAATGCTGAGCTTGTCATCACCCTCATCAGTCTCGTCACCATGAGCAGCTTTCGTAACGATTACTACCCTGGCTTTCGTTAGGAGTTAAAGTGTATCGCTCAAAACTCCTGCTGGTATTGCTCATGGGATCGTCACTAGTGCTGTTTCTTGTTCGTCTTCCTACTTCTCGACGACGATCGCGATGCCGCGGATGCGGACGACGGTTACACCCATCATCGGTGTTGCTCCTGCTCTTGCTGGCGTGCTGTGGCTATGGGTAGCATTGCCTTCGTCACTGGTGCTATTTTCGCTGATTTTACTGATACTCATATGATGATTCCGCTCTTGTTACTAGTATCGTTTGTAGCAACCGCTGCTGTATTGAATTGCCAGGCATTCCCACCAAGCTAGCATCACTATGCCTATAAACGCTGTCTCCGGTCTTCGTCGTTCTCCCATGACCCGGCCTCGCCGATCCGGCTCGCGAAGCCTTTGAGGGCCTCGGAGTCGACGTCCCAGCTCAGCCCTGGAAATAAGCGGCACAGGGCAAGAAAGGCAGCAAGAACGACAGACACACCTAGGGAAGCATTGGGCGACGGAGAGGTACAAGACAGACCTACTGCCTCAAGCCATCATGCTATTTTGCCGGGGTGGTGGCAGCAGCGCTGGTGCATCATAATCATGATCCTTTTTATCATGATCATCAACCTTATCATGAACATCATCCACATGATCCTCACCCTTAACAGTATCACCGTCACCACAATCGTCCACGGCATCATCATGATCATCACGGTCGTCAATCTGCTTACATTGCTTACTAGTGTCAAGATTCGTGCCCAGATCAACAAAGGACAGGACGAATAGGAATTCGGTAGACAGCGCGCGACGTGACACGACGTTCCTAGAGACTCCAAAACCCCTTAAGGAAGGAATATACCTTAAATCACATTAGGGATCCTGATATGGTTTACGGTATATTCCTGAATTGATTGATTTTGGAGCCTCTGGGTTGTCTGCCCAGCATCAGGTGCGCATTTCTCACCTGCTGCACGAACTACCCAGGCCTCCTCAAAACCAATCAGCCAAAACGGCTTCGACAGCAAAGCTTCGGGGCACAGGTGTGACTCGGTATGTAGGGACATCGTCTTGAAAGGCCCTGTTCTGTCAATGTCCCAAGACCAACTCCTTCAATTCAAGTACCTTCCCCGGCATGCACGTGGCTTCCGGCTGTTCATCCTACGAAAAGGTATGTCCTTAATGCTGCACCGCGAACTCGTGCCTCCCAGGAAAATTGTACGCCCGTCTGGGGCCGGAGGTTGTCGGGGTTCGCCTGTGCAAGTGCGCAGCTGTTCACAGCATAGCAGTGACTGAGACTCGACATCTCTCGAAATCTCTGGACCCTCTTTTGATCACACAAGCAGCTCGCACTCCTGCAGCAGATGTTCCACAGCCAGGTGCAATATCTATACTTTCTATAGGCTGCGTAGCCAGCCTTTCAACCAACCTCCCTGTTGCCGTCCGACTTCTCCCTTCAGGATGCAGTTGCCCATAAGGCTCACAACTCTCAGAAAGTCTCCATGGGATTTTCGGCTTTGGAGAACAAGCTACGGTATAGCTTCGGCTCTGCTGCTTGATTAAGATTGCTAACACTGCAAACCGGCAAGGTGCCCAACAGCGCAAAGGGGCGAATTAGGGATTACTCAATGCGCATCTCATAAGTGCGTGTGGATTGCATGGGGTGGTTGGTTGCCATGGTGAGATTGAGATGCTTCAGTTGATCAGCCTTTGTCTCACGAAGTCCAGATTCCTTGCCCTGCAGTTCGGTGAGATTTCACAGCTGGGGCCGATGGTCTTCCTCTTGTTCACCCCCTCTCCCCCATCTGTCCTTCCTCCCTCTCTCCCTCCCTCCCTCGCTCGTCGTTCGGATGTTTCGCAGGTAGACGCAGGTCTGGAACGGGCGCTGACGGGAATGCTGTGATTTCGGGCGATTCGGCGCACCTGGCCGGCGGAGGGACAAACGGCCACCCTCCAGCTGCGCACCCTCCAGGTCCTGAATATCCGATTCTGGCGACAGGTAACATGCGAAACTTCTTCCCACTGCTGGAGATTTCAGGATGCGTTGGGGACTTCTTGGCTACAGAGCTTTCTGCGGCGCGCTTAGACTTAGAAGCTCAGTCGTCCTGAAAAGCTCGCTCCAGCAGATCCGAAGATGCAAACCTGAAGAAGGTGCGATGGCAGAAGGCTTCCCACCGTGCCATGTGCGCTAGAACTTTTCTTCAGAAGCCGAGGGTGCAGCTCGATTTTCGCAGTGCATTTTGACTCGCCGGTGTCATGGTCCTGGAAGACGTTGCAGTACACGACCTGGATTTCAGCTATTCGGCTATACAAGTGCCAGCAGCGAAATCAAGCTCCTTGACCCCAACATGCCTTAGAAAAAGAGTGAATGTGGGAATACGGTTCGCTCAGGTGCCTGCAGCCTTGCGCAAGTCGTGCTTGTATGCAGAAGGGTCGCGACTGGAAGTCCAGCGCAGCGCGAACATCACCCTCTGGAGTGGCTAGAGTATGTTGCCCCAGCCTGAGAATGCCTGTGCAACCCGAAGCATTCTAAAGATTAAACACAACTGTTCCCTAACAAGCTTTCTTCACTCTGGGTCAAAACCCACAAGGCGAGCAATGGTTGCTGCCACGGCATTGATTTGCTTGTACAGCAAAAAACGGGCGAAGGATCCCCTGCAAAGTCCCTCTAATTCGGGAGACCAATATGCCGAGAGCTCCTGGGCTGGGGCTGAGGCTGACCCGTCGCCAAGGCAGGCTTCGCAGAACTCACGCAGCAACTGCGGCAGGACATGCTTTGGATAATCTGGACAAGGTGTGCAGGCTTAGGCTTGGGTCAAGCCAGGGATCCCATGCATCTCACCATACAACTGACGGCCGAGTCGCCATGGACCCTAATCTGTAAGGAAGTCCAACATTACAACAGCCCTACGCCCTACACCCTACACCTGCACTGGGGCCAAAAAGAGAGAGAGAGAGAGAGAGAAAGAAATAAAGAGGGTGGAGCCTGCAGCCACCAACTTCTTCACTTAACCCGCTTCGCCCCTGTGTGTGTGTTTGTGTACCTCAGTCTGCGTGGTCGGCGCGAGGCCCGACACGAAGAGCTGACGGCCACCTCGAATACCCAAAAACATGCAGATTGATTTTCGGATCTGAACCGAGTCCTTCGCTATCCGGGGGGCTCAGCCCTGGAGGTGGGCGCATGGGACTGGACCTGAGATGCCGTGCATGGGACAGGGCTGAAGCTGAGGCAAAGGACGAGGAGCCCAAAGGGACGGAGACAGGCTCGCTTTATCGTATCGTCCACTTCAGGCAACTCCGAACTTGACAAAAACTCATCTCTTGAGCCGAGGATACCTCTCTGGCGGTCGGGCCTCCATGATTTTCACCTTGGATGTTTTCGAAAAGCTATTGCTCCATGGTCAGGGCCAAAGGCGCCGAGGAGCGTGGACCTGCCGGCCATCGAGCTCCGAACCATTCAGCTCCTTCGACAAAGCAAAAGCTGATGCAACTCCGCATGGCAGCGGCAGCCAGCCTGCGAAAAACCTACACGGCCCCACAAGCACGACACCATGCACAGCCTGCACTGCACGTTCTGCATCGCGCGCAGAATGGAATTCCACCTTCCCCGAACCTGGCGCTAGCTCGCAGGGAACATGGGCCCCTTTCCATGCCTTCAGGACTCTATACTCACGACCTGAGTTGACCAGTGTTTAAAAGCAAGGACGAACCGGGATCACCATTACTCTCACTGTGCCCTGCTCCATTCCCCAACTTCATGGACCGCCTCGAGGCTTGCCTGTGTCTTTGGCTGTGAAAATGGATGCCTGCGGCGGAGTCGAGGATTGATTCACTTTGCTGTCTCAGCTGTTGTGCTGGTCAAGGAGGTGTACTGCAAGGCCTTTCTAGATAGGTACCGAGACGGGGGAATGAGGCAACTCCCCACTCCTGAAGCCTGCGGAAACAAAGAGCGAAAGCGAGGGAGAGAGATATACAGTGACAGACAGAGACCAAACTCACGAGGGATTGAGAATTGAGAATCGTAACAGGTGCTATCAAGCCCAGCTCAGAAACACTGCGTGCCAGCTAGAAATCCGCAAAACCGTGGTCATGCTGCTGCTCACGTAGCAACGCTCTAGGGGAATGTTGAAGTACAGCTACAGTGGGTGTGCCTGAGGCACGGGTGACCGTGTGCCTTTGTCTTTGACATCAGACTTATCCTCTTTCTCAAGCGCACTCTATGACTCTCTATATCCTCGCTTCCACGACATCCCTTCTAAATCGCAGCAAAAGAAGGGTATGTACAGTAAGACTAGCTGGGTTGCGAAGAGCATGAATGGACAACACCTGAAGAAAGCAGATTACAGCTCATCCGTCCGAGACCACTAGCCGAGCCTCACAACAGCCTACAGCTTGCGTAGAAGAAGAGACGTCCTCCATCTTAACGAACACGGAACTCAAAACCCTTGGATCACAGCAATAGCCTTCTCGCCTGTCTTTCTCACAAGGATGGCAACAATCCGTGTGTCCCCATCTACTCCTCTTGCTTGCTCTTCTTCCCCAGGGCATGAGGGGTCTGTTAAACCCCCCGGCCAGTTGGCCCCCCAATTGTTATTGGGGCTTTCGGAGGGTGTGAAAGATGCTTCTGAATTGTTGAAGCAGTGCCTCTTGGGGGCCGATGACAAACACATAACATGGAAAAGTTGTTCCCCGAGGCACTGTTTACTTCACAGTTCACGTTGGGACACCATGACGTCACTGCGGTTTTTTGTCCGAAAAATGCTAACTGAACAGAAACCATTACGTTCCCCCGCATGGACGTCCAACTGAATTCATGTCACGGTCGATTGTCCCCCGTAGTAAAAGAAACTCTCCAAACTAGAAAAGGTACTCAACTGATACGTTAAGAAACATCCTGCTTGCTCTCTCTTTCTTTCGCCAGGGCTGTGGGCACAGGAGTTGCCCCCTGTGCCCTTGCTCTTGCTTGCTTGCTTGCTTGCTAGGGGTCTGGGGCAAAAACCCCCGGCCCGAAGGCCAACCCCACCACGGTTCGCGTCAGTCGTTCCCCTTTTTGGGGCTTGCAGAAGTGTTCCCTCCAGGTGACCACAGTGAAAAACCCCCCGAAAGAACACCCCTCCTAAGGCCCAGACCGTGGAAAACCCCCTCTCAGTGTTCACCTGGGTCCTCCACTCTGCGTTCATCTCCGCATCACCACTCGAGCTCCACTCTGTGGTGATCTACTGGGGTGCCGGTCCCCAAGAGTGCCCTTGCTCTCTCGCTCTCTCTCTCTCGCTCTCACACACAGTCATTCTCAACATCGACATTAGTTGAACACAGATCTGGCCTGGACGACTTTGGCCACCCGGCTGAAATGCTGCTCCAGGCCTTGCCAGCTACCAGCCCTTAGGCCTTGAACCAGTAACCGAGAAACCGAGATGGGCTACCACAAAAGAGCGAACCTGTCCTGCATACCCACACTGGCAGTTTGGACCTATCGAAGTGCAATGCGGAGCTTCTGCATACTAAATATTCGACGATATCATAGAGGAAACAATACCCTTTACTGCCAATCAAGCCTGCCTTGAGTAGTGGTGCTGAAGCTCAAGCCACCCACGAAAATCGTCGCATCCTGCACAAGTCAGGGTTTCGGTCCTGGATCGAGGTTCACATGTCACATTTTCATGGGCTTGCAGTCATCAGCATCTTAGTACGAAACAAGGAGCAGAAGCACTTGATCTTGGCCCCTGCCATCTTCTACCCTTGCTGCATTCCTATGCAGCACGTATGCCCACAGAACACCCGCCAGCCCTGCTGACTACCAGTTGGCGCTCAACTTAAAACCCCCCATCGACACTGTTCATCTTGACTTCGCAGTTACCTTAGAACCTGCGAATGCAGCGCACTGCTGTGCAAACGCTGTGGCCAAACAGCTAGTTGCATGTAAAGCGTCGGTCTGCGGTTTTGGACGCTCTGCATCCATTCGCACACTGATGCGGTTGGAGATGTAAAAGGTCTCGTTCCTGAGTGCTGGACGTGGGCAGGGTTCCAGGCAGTCTTTGTCTGTGGTCCTACGGCAAGCGGATGATTAAGCAACTCAATGCAAACTCTCCTGCTTTTCGTCGGCCATGCTTGGCACGACGACACGGCTTGTCCTCGAGAAGTCCTGCAAATACCTCCACGTGGCCTCCAAGCAGGTTATGCTCCCCTCCAAGCGGCAGAATGCTCACAGCTCGTTGGGCTTGGTCAGAAGATGCCTTCAAGCACCAGAACACGCCACCGTTTCTTCTGTTGCGCATCAAGACTTCGCGATGACTTGGCTGCCGAGTGAGGAAATCCAAGCAAGTCTTCGCTGCTGGCAGCCCTGTGCAACTAAAGCTAGCAGGACAGATCATGATGGATGTGAACAGATGCATTAAGGCACCATCGTCGCGCGGCTGGCGGTATTGCCGGCACCCGTCTTGAACACCTCCCGGTCGAGCAAGAGTTGCATGTCCAGCAAGTCACGTTTGCTACTTTGGTACATGCGGTCTTGTGCCGACCGCTTACACGATGCTGTGGCATCGATCCCTTGCTTCTGGAAGCCTCGCAGAAGCTTCACAAGCAGGACCGGAGCAATGCAATGTGGAGCACAAATTGCGACCCAACAGCAGGACCCTTCCCGCCTGCACGGAGATGACCTCGCCAGCCTGGACAAGCAGATCCTGCACCTGCTCCTCGCTGACCTGATCGACAAAACATGTAGAAACTTGCACGTGTGCAGGTAGGCGGTAGGTACAGGAAACTCTCATTCACCACGACCTGATTCAGCAAACTTGTTCCGAGCCTCGTCAGGGAGGTTCGTGATGAAGATTCGGCTGCCTCTGGGCGCCCCAGACCGTAATGTGGATACACACACACTCGTGAGAATCATCAACCAAAATCATGGCAATCTCTTGGCTCGAACACTCCACCATTTCAAACATTGCGCACATGAGGGCGGTTTATGCAATTCCCGGTACGACCTCCACAGATCGCTCATGCTTTTGCCCAGTGGCTTCCCTCTGCAGGCTGTCGTGGGGGCCGATCCCGCCTCAGATAGCGAGTCAGATGCCTGAGACGCTGAACCAGTACATGCTGAGAGTGCTTCTTGGTATGGCGTGGGTTGGACAGCATCTTGGGTCCCGTTCAAGAACCATAGTGCCACAGTACTTCGACTCGGGTCTCGGAGCTAGGTGAGAATGCTGTGGATAGGATGCTGCAAACGCCGAATCCCGTCCGAGTCCATGGTAGGCTCAATTCCGAGCGAAGAAGCTCCATCAAGCGTGCTGAGAGGTGGCTCCCGTCCAGCAAGCGGCCATTTAAAGCCTCAGCAACAGCGCCATCAGGGTTGTTGTATTTAGCATTCCCTACCCTGCAGAAGGCCATGTGGGACATATGTGGCATTTGCCGTTGAATGCATGGCATCACTTCAGATGTTCTGGATATTGCGCTTTCGTGTTCAGGCCTGGATGGCAGACTGCGCCAACTCCGCAGAGTCGAACTCGACCTTCGCGGTACCCCTAGATTCGCCAGTGTCACGGTGAGTGAACCTCAGCTTCTCAAGATGACAACACTGCAGGACAACACTGCAGGGCTGTAGCTGGCGTGATAGGAAACGGATTCTGAGTGAGCCTAGCGACCTGTTTTCTTCTCCCTTCGAACTTATAGTTTGGAGCCCTCGCTGCACCTGTCCTGCCCATCGATATTGTTTTTCGGACTGCCCATTGCAGCTGGCCGCTGGTACGTGTTTGGGGCATTCTTGCTTGGTGCTGCTTGTTTGCGAGGCTTGGGAAATAACTTGGATCTGGCGGCACGCGGGCGTTGGCCACGGGTCCAGCGCTGAGTTCGCAGAACTTCCGCAATGTCTCCGAGTCTGTGCCTCGAACTGACCATACATCTACTACGATTTTGCCGCCCCCTGCAACAAGTTAAAAGTTAAATCCGCAGATTGATCCAGATTGAACTGCGCATGTAAGAGTTCAGGAAAAAACGAGCGAGCAACTCTTGAGCAGATTCCAGAACAGATAACTGCCTGTGTCTGGGTGCGTGGCTAGAAGAAAGGCCAGAGAGAAACACCTCGAGTCGCTTGCAGGAAGTGGCTTCCCTCGACCGACCCTTTTGCTTTCATCTGTCTTTGCAGTCTACAACACTCGCCCGCTTGGATGTCTTGTGAGTCTGTTGCTTGCTGGTGCGATGTTTGTGTTGCCTCTGCTACGAATCCGACCGGATATCACCGGCATACACATCCGCTGGGGCGCTGGGCTGTGGGAACACACTTTGTGTTTGGAACTTGTAACATGCATATGCACGCATGTATGTATGCATGCATGCATACATACATATATACATACATACATACATACATACATACAGTGTGTAGATATACTTATAATAGACATAGGTATATATGAGCCTACATATGTACATAGATGTGTGTGTGTGCGTGTCTGTGTGTCTGTGTGTGTGTCTGTATATTTATGTGTACACATACTTTTTTTGACTTTTTGAAACTCGACAGTATCTGTGAAGCTGCCCGTGTCAAGTCCTGACAGCCTGACACGAATGTCACGAGTGACATGGCTCAGGCACGACTTCGCGCCACCCCGCCCCCCCAACAAAAAAAAAGAAACACTACAATACTACAAAACTCCACACTCTATCTAGGCTCTTATCAAAAACCCCAAACCCTAGTCCTTGAAGTCTAAACCCTGACCCCAGGCTACCCCAAGCTACCATTTCCTGTCGAAGAACTTCTTGTCAGGCCCTGACGACACGGGCAATGCAGCCTCACAGTCTTCGCGGCACCACCCCCTGCCTTGACCCTCACCCTATCCATGTGGCTGTTTGCTATTGGTTTCAACATGTTTGTTTGTCTCTCTATAACATATATATATATACTTATATATATATATATACTTATATATATATACTTATATATATATATATAGGTGTGTATGTGTGTGTGTATGTATACATATATATATATGCATATACACGTACATGTACATATACTATTTATATCTTACAATACAATGCAATACAATGCAAAATACAAGATAGTACATATGTAATATAATGCAATATACTGTAATATAGTACCACTCAGTATATATCGGTACATATTAATGTATAATAGTATAGTGTAATATAACATAATGTTATACAACGTCATATCATACAAGACAACATAAGATAACAGAACAGAACAGAATACTCTCTAAAAAGGTAAACATGAACATGACAGCATACAAGCTGGGATAATTTAGTGTGAACACAAAAAGTATGATATTCTACAACGTCCATAACATAACTTTTTCAAGATGGTATAACCTAATACACATGTGATTAGTAGGATCTGGACATGTTAGAACATAACATAATACAAAATTGCATAAAACTATATGAGGTGATGTGAAATAACATGGTACGGATAATATGAAATATCATGAGATAAGATCAGATAAGCTAAGATAAGATCTCAGAAGGTAGTGCAAAATTGGACAACACAATATAGTAAAACATACTATGAAATAATGTAACACGATATATCAGAAACAAAGAATACGATACGATACAACATAGTAACATACCCTTTAACATGACATAATATAATACAACATACTGTAACACGATACGATAGAATATGATGTGTTATAACAAAACATAATGCAGCTTGATAAAGCATATGATAATAGAGTTCAAAATGCAACACCACATAAAACATAATGCAATATAACATGATAAACCAAAGCATAATATAATATAACATACTGAAGCATTTTCAAACAGAGTATAACATAACATAAGATATAAAAATATACATATTTTAACTCGAATATAGTATCATGTAGCATAGCATGAAACAATATAATATACTACTGAATAATAACACAATGCATCATCATACAGTATAACATGTATATATAAAGATATAACAATATAACGTAGTACAGTGTAACAGAATATACTAGTCTATCGCAATATAACATGATATAACGTTATATGACATAACACAATTAATATAACAGTATATAACAAAGTCTTATATATAATAAAACAATATAACTCTCACATCCATATACTCATATATGTTGCATGTGTGTATATACATGTACAATATGTACATCTGGACACCTCCACACACACACACAGAGACAGTGTCCCCTTGAAGACCTTTTTTACCCGGTAAGCTAGTGCTTTTTGAAACCGTCTTTACGTCAAGCTGCCTGGCGCCCATCCACAACAGGTGGCGCCGCATCTCGCGGAGGGCGCCCTTCGTGTGCCTGAAGCAAGAGCACGACCCCTTTTGACTCTTCACGGAAGCTACCGGATCCACGATTTGGTGCAGCTCAGCACTCATAGGCCCTCCTGTCAATTCGGATGAAATCTTGCAAAATGCAACCGACGAGCCGACATGTTCCGAAGGCTCCGACATGCTCCCGCACTGCACAACCTAGAGGATCGGTTCTTCTCGATTATGCACCCGATGTGCTGAGCCTGACTGAACGGCTCGATGGTGATGCTTCGACCGTGAATCTCCTGCTGAGTGCTCCGCACATGTCTCTTAGGGCAAAGGCCCTCCTAGAAACCCTGTGCGAGAGCGGGCACTGCGCACTTTGTGGGAGTCTTTGTCTGGGCCTTCTGTTGGGAAGCCGGCGACACCGATGCAACAAGGAACACGAAGCGTAGCCCAACTCCGTCTTACTAACCAAATTAGCAGCGAAGGAATCTCCAAGCGACTCCCCACATACTGTACCAACTTTGAGCCATGACCTCGACAGGAATCCCCCAGTCGCACCCATTCATGTTCGGTCCTTCCCGTTCAATTCGCTCACCGCCTTGGCCACGAGGTCCTCTGTCTCGAATTCCTTAGCACCCGCTAGCTACAAATTGTGTCAAGCCCTTGAAGATATGACGAATCATGGAATCACCAATGGAACATCCAGGCGGCCACTTTGCCACAGCCCTTCGAGGCACCGGTCTGACGGTCTCGGAAGACCCTAGCAAAGGTCACCTGAGCTGCTCCTTTCACATTACCGTTCCATGCACAGCTGAGACCTGCCCTACAGCAAAGACCAAGGACAGGTCACCGGGCCAATGTCCGAGACCAGGTCGAGGAGACCACCTCAGACGCACCAGGGCCGTCAGCCAGCAAGCCCAGCAAGCCGGCAAAAACGGAAAGGTCGTGAAGAATACTGATTAGAGCCCGATTCCGAAGAGGAGTCCTACAGTACCGTCTTACCCAGACAGGAACTTAAAAGCAAAAAAGGAAATACGAAAGAAGGCACTCGAGGCTTTGTTTAAGCTGTGACCGCCGGATCCTGGCATGATTCCTCGGACGCGCGTGGATGATACCTACAGGTGACCAGATTGATTAAGGGTCCCATGCCCCAGATCTTGTACACTGCCTCGCTGCTGTTTGCTGGTGATGAGTGACACGGCGGGTCTCAAAACGCCGAGTTTATGTTCCAAAGAAGACCAGTTCCCGGATATGGTATCTCGCACAACTCACCTCCTCCACCCTCCACCCGGGCCTTCGTCCATTTCCGCAGAAAGGCCACCGACGAAAGCAGTGCGGTAAGAGTTAACAACCTAAGATTGCGAAGTACGATGCAGTTGGGCAAGAGAGGTACTCAGCGCCTGGAGAGCAAAGCACAAACCCGATGACAGCTTCTTGAGGAGAGCGAAGCTTTTCATATCTTTTCATTGACCAAGTGTCCGCCGGCGGGCGCCGCTGCGCGCCCTCAAGGCAAAAAACGAAAACGAAAGAGCTGTCGGGGTCAGGGTATTCAGAGAGCAAGAAGTATGCCGCACATCCTAGGGTGAGGTGATGGCATGGAGTCCTAGCTCACGGAACACCTCGGAGGCCATTGGCTCCACCGTCACCGTGCGACCTGAAAGGACCTCGGCACGACACTTCGGCAGCAGGCTGGGGAACAGATGTCCTGAACAGTGGGCGCTCTTCTCCAATTGAGGCTTCAGTATACACACTGCAACCCTGAACAGAATTCAAGAAAGACGATTTGGAGAGATCTAATGTCACCAGCCCACCCAAGCAAGAGAGAGAGAGAGAGAGATGGAGAGACCAACCTCAAGGCTCACATCCCCAGGCTCCATGCTGAAAGCTTTTCTCAAGATCCCCGCAGCCCACCTTGCCATTCAACTGCTGCACTGCCTGCTGGGCTTGCTCCAGCGAAGCGAACTCCACCTCTCAAGTTCTTGCATCTTCGGATAACCCACCGGTTCTGGAAGTTAGTCGTTTGTTCCTTGTCTCGGATCCTACGCGTCTGTCTGCGAAATGTCGAACAGGACATCAATGGGCTTCCTCGCAACGTTTTTCAGTCAGTGGCCTTGCCACAGCCACGCGAAAGGCCAGTCCTGAGTCGTGCTGCTCCTATTCCCACAGATGTAGAAAGCTGAGCACAGTGCCTATGGCCTATGGCGGTTGAGCATTTCTTCTGCGAGCTCAGGCAAGGAGACATAGTAGCATGGGGTGTAACCTACAGTAGCACGGGATGGCTTCGACGATCCTGCGAATAGGACAAGCCGAAGACAACCGAGGATGCAGAAGATCTCACTCCTCCCTAACCAGTTGCAGGAAGGACTCTGGCGATCTGTGAAAATGCGCACGAAGCCGACATCCCCTGGGCGGCAAACAAATTCCGATTATTGACGACTATTGACTGCTTATTACCATAGCGACTGACCACAAGCATAACGATGCGTCCCCACCATCAACCTGTGGTTGTGCCAGAATCTGACTGTTACAGTCGCGAGTACAACAGGCAGGAGCGTTTCACAGGCACTGCCACTCAGCTAAGCCTAGACCCAGACGGACCGACAACATTCCATGGAGCAGCAGCAAGCAGCTCGGGGGACCCGCTCCAAACTGCCAAAATCCCATGGACAAAGAGACCCACAGTGCCACAGTGGTATCTTGCATCGGGAGTGACATTGAAGTGACGCAACGTTGAGACCCTGGATTCCTCCACACAGGCAAGACACCGGCTTCTGCAGCAAACGCCTTGAGCTCGAAGCGACCCACCTGGCACTTCAATTTGTCGGTTGGGCGTGACCCATGCACGGGGATTAACTTTTTTTCAACGGGTCTCCAGATTGTTGCCAGCGCGCTTGTGGGCCATTTCTTCTGCAGGCAATGAGTACTCAATACACACCTGGATTTGTGCCTTCCTGCAGGCTTTCGCATGCAGCCTAGAGTGCCACCATCGAGGCACGTCACCCTGATCCACTCTCCGCGAAAATTACCATCCACACCAGATGCGATGCTGGAAGCATGCCGCGCCCTTCCCGTAACGACCTCTGTGGCGAGGTTGGAGACGAAGACAGCACAACCATCATTGTCGCGTCGCTGCCTTGCTTGGACATGCTGCATGGACGGCTTGAAGCACAGGCCAACATAAGAATGCAACGAAACAGTTAAACAGTTCAGTGTTGTCTCGAAGGCCTTGTTCCTCCATGTGGCGCTGTGCGATTGGTGTGAGCATTGCACGTCGATCTGGACTCCCGACCGAATTCGGCAAGTTTGGCGGGCTTTCGGACAAGACTCAAAAAACATCAAAAAACTGTGATCTCGCCGTCATGCCTGTCCTAAACCATTGAAGAAACGGATGGTGGGCGTTTCGACTGTCTCTGACTGAAGTCAGCTAGTAAGTCTGCAGCAAGACAATCACGTCACAGTTTACTTACCTCTTGATGAGGGCATGAACATCTTCCAGATCCTGATGCCCTAGAAAGGATGCAGCGGGGTTGCGCGGGCACTAGCAGCAGGTGAAAATTGCAAAGAAACAGTCATGTCTCAAGCCATGTGTGCGGTCGTGCCGCCAAAGGTAGGCGGGGACATCCGCTAGACTTTGCATCGTTATAGTACAGCCATCGAGCAAGGTCCCGCTAAGTTCGCGGATCGCCCGCTTGGCGGTCTCCTCACAAAAACTGTGCACAATGTTCACCTGGAATCGCATGAGGCATCTATTAAAGACCGGCTCGACATGATGCTAAAGCCATGAGATGCCGGGAGAACAAGCTCCCCTTGCCTCGCTGTCAAAGTCTACCTTCGCGGTGCCATTAAGGTCACTGCTATCCTTGCGCAAGGAATCTCCATAGTTCTTTGCGCGGGCATTTTCTCTCACTTGTGGTGTCCCGAGAAGCAAAGAGATGATCGATGGACGGGAACTGTAAGTTAGTAAGCCACGTGTCTTGAGACGTCTTGCGATGAAGCCGACGGTTCAGGACAAGGACTGCAATCTAAGGCCGAAAGATGCAGCACGTGCAAATCGAACTAGATTGATCTGTGTCCACCTCACGACCGAGCACGTGGACCGGATCTCAGCTGCGTATCACCTCTGTCGCTGCCGCCGTGTGTCAGAGTCTATGAACAGAGACACGTGCCGGACTTCGCCGACCCCTGCAGCAGGGCGAGCTCTGCGACACATCTGTCCGTTCTTGCAACCGCACTTGTCTGCTGCTGACACCGATGCCCATAACACAGCACGCTTCGGTTTTCAGAGCAATCAGTGAGGCCTTGACAGTATTCGCCCAAGGTCTGCGGCCCAGTATCGCCGCTGAGGCCTGTTTGTCGAGGCAACGTTGTCGAGGCGTTGCCTACGGGCCTAGCGCACACCTATAGCTAGAAAGACATTCGTGCAGCGATGCGCCGGCTTATGGTACCCTAGCAAGGCTGGGTTTTGGGCCGATGTTGCTAAGGAAGGACTGAGGGATGGGGAGTGGTCGAAGTTGGAGAGTGCCCCTTGCGCGTGCAGTTGCGGGTGCCCTTGCATTGCGGGTGCCTTTCGCGCGCCTTGTTCGCTGAACCCTGTAGAACAACTGATTTTGGCTGTTTCGGAACTCGGAGCAGGAGCAGTAGCAGCAGCGGCAGCAGTCGTCGTCTTTGTAAGATCTCAAGATACCCTTGCCGGTGCGCAGGCCTTACGCGCGTGCGACTGTTGCTTACGCGTGCTTGCGCGCGTTTGCTTATGCCGCCCCTATAGTCTGGCTAGCTCACATCTGCTGAGGCCGGCTTGGTTCAGTGCTCCAGGCAAAGACTCTAAGACTCTGGGCATGAAGCTCCGGCGATGTGATGCACGCAAAATCGCGCAAACAAACTCCATGGCGAAATCTTCCGACCCTGCAGCCCCATGCACCGGACGGCCTGTCACGAACACTTTGGACGTGATGTCACGAGGGGGACGCCTGAGAACTGCCAGCAGGTTTCCGGCCCACGGAGCACTTCACAACCGGCCGGGTACAATTCTTTGCCATCTTCACCACACATCTTTGGATACGCTGTTCGCTTGACTCTGTGACACCTTGAAGCTCGGCGTCAACATGATACGGCAATGCAAAGACTGGTGAGCCAAATCCCCACATGCATCTACGAAGGTCGACAGAACTTTGACACAACATGATGTTGTCAAGCTGTGATTGATGTGCTGCTCCCAGTGGCCGTGAACGCGGCTGCTCAGCAGGGACCTGCAGGCATGCCGGCTTTGTTTGAGGGCCACGGATGGATACAGGGTTTGGGCTCTTGCTGACACGACGTCGTGCAATCAAGCGCAGAGCAAGAGCCCTGCTCCTATGCTCTTTAGGATCTCGCTGGCGACCCTTCACGTCTTCAGACGAAGGTTGCAAGATGCTGCGTCGTGCGTCAGGTAATTTTTGACAAGCGCAGAATAGGCACACCCCCTCAACATGGTTTCCGTGTTGGCTTTCCGCTTCATGCTTGAACCTATATCGCGCGGCGACTTCCCGCGTCAATCATGTCTGCATGCACCTGTGCTGAGTATGGCCTTGTTTGGCTGGCCTGCATGATGAAAGATTTCGTGTCCTTGATCATCGATGCAAGCCATCCTCGACAATCCTAAGAATGACGACAGCGGAGGGGCCCAAACCATGCCTCCATGGGGCGAGGCTCCCTCCAGGCATCCAGGGTCGGCTCACAGGGCGTTGCATTCTCCTGCCCGCTACGCCCCGAGTCTCAAAGAGTCCGCTCCGAAAGTATCTACCTACCCTCGGTGGCAGCCTCTGACCTGTTGTGATCCTGTGCTGTGCTGCTACCTTGGACGCAACTGGCCGCTGTCGCTCCACGCATAGACACCCTTTGACCAACAAACCAGGCGCTGGTGAGAACGAGATCGAAATCCCAAGCTGGTACAAGCGCTCATGGATGGAACAGGCATTGAGTGGTCGAGTGTATGATGTCAATTCTTGATGTAGATCAGCGCATTTTGCAGCCCAGGGTCAAAACGCACACCACCCCCAGCTTATCCAACCAAGCCAGCTCCCCTCCCCGCATCAGGAACTGTGAATCGTTGCATGTGGAAGGAATTGGGGCCCAGCATGCAAAACTGCCCATCAGAATTGCCTGGAGCTCGTGGAGACATGCGGCCAATTTCAGTACATCCTGCTTGCAGGTTTCCCAATGGTGAAGCCGGGAGAGACTGATAGCAGGGGAGCCTATCTCACTACATATGCTGTCACACCTAACACATCCATTACGGAGTGCATCTTACATGTCAACGTTATAGCCGATCCCTGAGTCTCCCAAAAGACCGTCTTCTCCTCCGCGCCAACCTCCTGACCGTCTGGAACCGCCTGGGGCATGACTGCATCATGTTCCATTATCTGCTGATTTGCTTGCCTGCGACCGGCCGTTCCACCCAGTTTCTGAGCCACCTGGTGCCTGCACGTACTGGTGCTCCAAAGCAAACACACCAGATCGCCAATTCCGAACTGCACTTGGCATTAGCTCGCATCGGAGAGACAGTGCGGGGACGGAAACACCAAGTGCCTTCTTGGGCCCGCCGGTGGGTACAGAGCTTCGCCAGTCGCTCCAGGCATCTGACTCGTGATGTGGCGGGGAAGCCTCCCAGCGTGCATGTTCGCAGTTTCTATTCTGATTGCGGCTTATTGCGCAGCGTTGTCGGAGCAGCCTGCTACAAAAGCAACTATTTAGCCGAGAACCCGCTTAAACTTTGCCTGGCAGCCTGCTTCACTTCAGGTTGCCGAGAACTCGTCTAAGATATGACCCCGCATCTGTTCGACAACAATTGGGAAACCCATTGAAGCAGTCTGGTTGTAACTGAAGTTCGGCGTAATGCCAGCCGCTGGCCGTTGCCTCCGACATCTTACGACATTAGAAACAAGGCGACAGACATAACAAAGTCTGTTCGAGACGAGACGACCAAACACGAGAACGAAGCAACGAGAAGGCAAGCAAGCAAAAAACTGCACATTAGCGATCTTCGAAGCAGAAACCAGATCTTCACCAACTTCAAGCAGGCAATCTGCCAAGTTGGTATGGGGCTTGCACACACTTGATATCATTACATCAGAAGCCCAAGCAAGGACAATTACACAAAGGACACCGGCTGTCACTTGGCAAAACAAGCCTTGTTTTCATCTTATGCCCTGTTTTCATCTCATTTCATCTAAAACTCACCCTGCACAATTGTATGAAATGGCTGAGCACGACTTATTCAATTAGCATCTCGCCTTTTGGGGGACGTCCAAGACACCGATATGCAACCAGAGTCTAACTTGAACTTGTGTCTGTGGCACAGTTGAAAAACGAAACACATACAGTCATGGCCCCCCCCATGTTTCCTCTTGCACGGTACACATTTCACATCAATGGTATGTCCTTCTACTTCCGCCTCTCGCAGCTTATTATTACCACGATGTACATTGCAGACACCCGCAGCCCTGTCGGCATGCTGGGGTCGCTGCTTGCCATGCAAAACTAAGGAAGAATACTCATAATGGCAGGTAGCAGCCAGTTGTCTTTGCCGATCTTGTCCCTTTGTGTTTCTGTCTCTTCTCGCCTTGCAAATTGTGCCCGCAAAGCTTCGGGACATCTACCGGCCAGGCAGAGAGAGTTTGATGTGAGATCGTTTCCACTGCTAGGTGTGCGAAGGCTATGTAGGTCATCGCAAATGCAACAAGCGTTTGGTTGTTGCCAACGCTGCGTGGACTGCAACCTTCCCTCGAGCCAGGCACTGAAAGCTACATTCAGCTACTTGTCGTGTGGCCTCCTCTTGTGAGCTGCCTGAAATTTATTCTGCAGTGTTGCGGCAGCTAGGTCAGCTAGGTTGCAGCGATTGAGCCGCGTGCCTGTGTAGGCTCCCTTGAAGTTGAAACGCAGCTCTGCCAGTCCTTCGAAGGGTCTGGCCGCTCCTGCTGTGGTGGAGCAGCCTCCCAGAGTTATGCGACAGGTACGGCAGTTTCCAAACAATTTCCGCTGACCCCAATTGTACAGCATTTTACGGACCGGAAGCACCAGTGCCTCGTCCACATGCTCTGCAGACGCTGCAGGCTGCGGGGAGGAGAACTGCCTGTCCCTCGAAGATTCCGAAGGCCCTGGCTGAGTGGATGCCTGGGAGCACTGCAGCCGTACAAAAACGGCCAGAAAACGACTGGGCTTCACGTATTGTGAAGAGTGTCAATGTCAGTGTCAGCATCTGCACCGCACAAAAGAGTCTCGTAGCCCCTCCTGTTACATACTCTTTGGATCGATCTTTTTGGCACTTACAACTCAGCACAGCCAGGCGAGGCCATCAGGAGGTGTTTAACAACAGCTACAGCCTCACCAGTTATTAGGCCCAAAGCGGGACATGTTGGGACCTTAATTGGGCCCGGCCTGCGCGGCCTCCTGCTCCCTCGCTGGCGCCTGGCTTTGCCACGCCTCCCAACGGTCCCGTGATGGAGGCGCGGGCTCCTGCGGAAGGCACTCATGTGAGCTAGGCTCCGCAAGTGCATCGGACTGTGCCCTCGCACCTCGTTTTGCCACGATGGCCTCTCTTCTTGGTACGATGATGGCCAACTTCGCCAGCTGCTCCAAGACCACTGGTCCTGAATGCCGCGTACGAGCTGGTCGGAGACATCAGCGACATCGGCTTTCGAAAAGATATCTAGAATGACGTGCAGCAGTGCGACGTGTTGTGAGCGCATCTGATGTTAACAACCGGTCGTGTTCGCGTGCCCCCACCCTACCGCCCGGCACGCTCAATTCTTTTTCTTCCGAGGTGGCTGGTCCCGAGCTTTGCCCGATGGGTTGCCCATCCCCGGCTCCTCTCAGTGGGGCTTATACATGTCAACCTGTAACTTTAACTTTAGACAAGGACCCGGCGACCCCTGTTGCCTGTTCTTACCCGACACGGGCAATCCTACCGCCCTTTTTGAGGAGGGTCCTAGGTCAACCACAGGTGCCAAGTCGGCTCAGGTTAAAGACCTCGGCCCTCCTCGCGGCCTACAGCGGGCGATGAGACGGGCAGCAATGCTGAAGACCGTGAAAGCAGAACCTTCGAGCCTGCGGGAGGGCAAAGGCTCAGGGCATCCTTGACAGGATGTCGCCCTACACATTTCTGGCAGATGTGGGCAAAGTTCGGAGCAGCTGCCCTCCCCCAACGCGAATTAGAATAGATGCACGTGCCGTTTCGGTCCGTAAGAGGCGGATCGGTGCCCGACCCAGTGCCGGCTCTTGTGCTTGCCCGCTGCCATGAAGCGGATGGCCGCGTCCCTCACGTGCTCCTGAAACAGCCCCCACGCAAGTGCCCCAGCCACTGTCGTGATGCCATTGAGCTGCTCCACAATCGGCAGGTCGGAAGCTATGGCTCGAGAAAACGGATCTTGTCCTCGGGGCTTGCAAGGACCCAAGGGGCACGAGGCCCGACTCGGTTCCTGGAAACCCCTCGAGCCACAGCTTGGACGGGCACTGATCAGAGGAACCCAGCCTCCAGCAAACACGATGTTGTTATTATTAGCACTGCGTGCAGTGCATAATACTACGACAACGACTACTACCGCTACTGCTGCTGCTACTACTGCTACTGCTACTAGTCCTCCTGCTGCTGCTGCTGCTGTTGACCCCTCCAAACTGGGGTGTGAACCGCCTGAACGCGACATTGCATGACATAGCTGTCCCGTCCAAGCCTGCTCGGTCGGCTCCGCCGGCTCCTCCGGCGGCGGCCAGGGTCTGCCTTCCTCACGAAATCTCCCGGCAGCTTTGCGGGACCCATTTGCAGACGGCACCCCAGTCCGGAACTTCGGGCTCGAAATCGAAGTCGTACAGGATGCCACCCTTGCCTGCGCTGATTCCCTCACGAAGCGTTCCCCTCGTCCCGTCCCGTCCCGTGGCCGGCCTCTGCCCTTTACAATTCCTTTGCCCTTCGGAACGCCTTTGGGCTTCGACATGGCCTTTCGACTCCTCTCACACGAGGGGAGCAAAACCTGGCTGAGTGCGGCTGCGGCGCGGGGGCCTGCGAGCGGAGCCCGAGTTCGGCGTTCGGATCCTACATACCTGGCACACCTCCAAGACACCCTGCAGCCCTTGAGCCTTGAGCCGGCTGCAGATGCGCCATGAGACTTCCGACAATGTGAAACCATGAGGCTAGTCGGAAAGTCAGAGGTACAGTGCCGGAGTGCCGTCACGGAGGTCAGCCGGGGCAGACATGAGCCGCTGGATGTTCTCCGAACTGCCTCGGAACATGACTGGTACCACCGAAACAAAACAAATTGCATTAGCGCCCCCAGATCCGTCCTGCACAAACAGACCGGCTTGAGGCGACTGGATATAGTTGCCTGAGCCGTTCTCTGGCGGCACCCACTTCCCGACCACTAAAGTGAGGAACTCACCCGTCACGAACACTGGCTTGCTGCACCACAAGAAAACACGCCCCCACTAATTGAAACATGGCGTGCGGCGTGCCCCTTCTGCAACTCAATTCAAGACTGAATGGCTGCTCATGGCCTTCGAAGCTCTCAACATCTCTCAACCACGGTGAGTCTGACTTCAGATGCAACAGGAGCAAAAAGCGCACAGAGCTGTGCAGCCGCGAGGCCGGTCCAGGTCTGGAAGCTGAGCCAGGCATGTGGCCCAAGCCTCGAGGCGACGCTCAAAAAAACTTTTTGATTCTCCAACTTTGCCCCTCTCCTCTGCAAGGTGGTGTCGGTGGCCTGGCGGCAAAGCAGCTGGGCTTCGACGCATCCACTTACCAAGGTATTCGTGCATCCCTGACTCACTAACACGGCCAGCCGCGGCCCGGTATGGATCTGACAGCTGCCGCCCAGTGAAGGAGACGCTCACAGCAAACACCTATCCAGCCAGGTCCATCTGTGACACCTGTAGACTTGAGAGGCCCAACACCGCCTGGCCTCCTCTGCTGTTGGAGGCTTGGCACCCGGTGCACGTTTTCGCAAGGAGTCGCCTGCGCTCCCCGGTTTAAATCCATTTACCCTGACGCCCTGCCGCCCCTAGATTCCCTAGATCCCGCATGCAGTCGCCATGTCCGATTTTCCCGCTCGGCATAATTCAGCATGGGATGACATTCCTACTGGCCCGATGCCCGACAGACTGCCGTCACTTTGCCGTGTCTGAAATATGTTCGCGTTTCAGTGCTGACCGTTTGCGTGACACCAGTCCGACAGCACCGGGTTCTTCCGACCGGACATCCAACTCACCCAAAGATGCCACGTCTATGACTGACCGAATCGAATTAAGCGGCCGTCACTTTGACTATGCAAGTGACGCGGCGCAGCAAGCTTCTCTAATCTGCAGAGGAACCAGGGGCTCAACTTAGATGATGCTTCAGGAACTGGTGCAACCTTAAACAAAGCCGAGCGCAGTGCCAAGCCAGAAAGAACGAATTCTACGACTGTGACGCATGCGAGCGAGCAGCTGAAAGATCGTAAATGTCTCTTCAGGACAGAGCTGCTTCAGCTTGCGATCTGCTGTGATGACCCGCCCGTTCTGCAGGCCCTCGGCTGCGTCAAAAAGAGCCCCGTGACAGCACGAAAAGACGTCTGCGAAGCTGCCCAGCGTCTCTTTCCTTGATGTAGCGCCACATCAGCTTGGAGGCCTCCGTGTGTGTGACACGCTTCTTGCCGATCAGCTTTGCCAGCTGCCTCGCAACACGGCTGCATGCAAAAGCTGCCTAAGGCTTATGGACTTAAGGCCTGAACTGAGGGATATTAAAGGTAGGAGTGCAGGTACTCTAAACAACCTTCTTGTGCCAGGCTGCGGGCTGGCTTCCTTTTCTGCGAAAAGGCCTTTGCCGAGTCTCTTCAACTCCAGAGCCTCCGAGTCGCTCGCGGTGTACAGCCCAGACGGAAGCTAAAGCCTATTGGCAAGAGATTACGGTTTAAAAGCAAAGGCTGTTGGCAAGATACCCTTCAGCAGCATGGGACGTTGAGCCAGCAATTGCAGGTTCGACTCATACCAGCTTTCAGTCTGAACAACATATGCCAATATCTACGATGCAAACAAAGCCGTCGAAGCAAAATGCATTTAATTTGTCACGGCCCGCCGCTTGTCCCGCCGGTCCTTGGCACTGCCTGCCGCCTTTCTTGCCGCTGTCTTCGCCTTTCTGCGAGGCTTTTGTTGGACCTGCGTCAGCGAAGCTCCGGATGAAAAACCTCCTCCGGAATACCACTGCCACGCAGTGCATCACCCAGTGCAAGCTGACCTCATCGCCGGCAGTAGCTTCTTTGGCTTCGGCCTGAGCATCCTCTTGAAGCGGCCTTGCAGCATTTGGGCATCGGCATCTGCGGCACAACAGCAGAAGTTCCGAAATCGCGTCACCGACATGTTCGAGAGGGTTTTTCGACGCTGCATCTCTGTCTCCTGGTGCGGGCACACCCAGTCTTTATCGTTTCTATCCGATCCCGCTTCAGGCATCTCTGCCCGGATGGGCTCGAAGCGAGGCCATGCGAATTAATCAACTTAGGGAAATCCGTTGGTGTCCTGAGAAACAGAACTGCAGCAGCGTGCTTTTTGTTGCCTCGCTGCACTGGAAAGGCTTTTGCTTTACTGCAGGAAATGTCTTAAAGTAAGAGATAGAGCTCGCAAGCCTTCGACCAGAAAGGCTCGGGCTGTAGGCGCAGGCCAAGGCCGTCGCGGCAACGCCCACCTGGACCTGGACTCATCTGAGGATACCAGACTCCTCATCATCAGAAATCGAATCCTCGGCGACCGCCTTCCTCTCACAATAGTGGCAGTAGAAGCCTTGCTGGTCGTAGCCACACTGTGAGTTCATGTCTTTCTTCATCTCCTCCACGGTCTTGCTACCGGCTCTCCCGAGGTATAGCCTCTTGAGGCCTACGCAGCAAAACCAATACTCCAAACAGCCCCAGAGAGCCGCCAGAATCGGACCACAAGCAGTCCTTGCCATGAACAACGTGTGCCTGTTCCCTGGCATCACACCCACACTGAACCGCGCAAACTGAGTGGGCACGGGCAACCGATGAATGCAACCGCGTTGCCCCTCATCGTAAACAGGGATTGCCACCGTACGGATGTTCGTTTCGCAATCCACGACCTCAAGCCAACGACGAAAACGATGCCGTGTCAGCACTTATTCTTCGCAGTTCAAGGACATGTCACGTCTCAGGGCGGAGCTTGAACCCCCTTCCAGAAGTTGACGAAATCCTCCCACTGCATCCAGAATGCTCCATCATCCTTGGGCTCATCCGAGCCCAGGAGCTGCCTCTTCACACCTAAGCTGCTCTCCTCTGGGGCTCCGAAAAAGACCAGCAGCTCTGAGGCTCTGGCTGGGGTATTCGCTCCAAAGCCTGCAATTGTCTGACCACGCCTCGGCTCCGTGTCCGGCTCCTCCATTGGACTCAGCAGGGTTCGCCGAGTCCCCAGCTCCCCGCCACTCTCCCTGGCCGTGTGGGTTCCGGATCTGCACCATGCGGAAATAATTCCCGGACCTCAGGTCTTCCCGACAGGCTCGGGAAAGAAACACGCACAAGCCAGCGAGGACTTGCTGTTCCGATTGATGCTCGCTTCCCTCTTCGGGCCCATGCTCTGAATTTCACAGGGCACCAACCTGTCAGTAAACTGATTTCGGCAAGTACGTTTTCATGGCAAACAGCATGGGTCTTCATTGGCCCAGGCCATCACGTTGCCCCTGATTCCAGTGCAATCGCGATTTTAGATCATGGCCTGTTACCCCTGGCATGGTCATGCGAAGTCAGCGCTGGGGCATGCAGAGCAGTTACCCGTGCAGCTTCGTCCCAAGAGGGCAGCGTGCATGTGTGCCGGCCCACAACGCAATCCGAACGTTACATGTGATCCTATGCCGAAAAGTGGGTTCCTTTTAGGCGGCATCGGCAGTCAGGACTGCACGGGCCTTGCTGTGTGACGCCGAAGTAAGGCCCGCAGGCGGTGCTGTGATGAAGTGCATCTGCTAAGCCTGTTAAGTCCGCGGCATGTCTGGCTGTACTGTAGTCAACTGGAGCACCGAATACCTCATATATGAAATCACACCACACGCTGCACATAACTCTGTCCCAAACTAAACGTCTTCCCCAAGGGCTCAGAAGCTCGAAAGCCGAGTGTCGCATGAGAGTCGATCAAGCCTTGGTGGTTCGCTTGCCCAATGCCGGCGCAGCAAAGGAAAGCACCATTCCGCTTGAGGCGGAGGAGAAACCTGCAAGTAGTGGCCACCAGTGCCGAACACTGGTTCAAAGACTTCAAATTTAGCAGTCCAAGAAAAACGATTCGCGCTGTCGTTCAATGCGGTTTCGCAACATCGACTGTTCCCTGTCCCGTAGAGGCTACATGTGCCGCCATCAGATTGCCAATTTGGGGTGCCAACATCGGCCGGCCGCATGTGCGTGTGCGCGCGTATTAATATGCGCCCGCTATCCCGAAACTGCGCAGCAGTGATGCCACGCACCCTCTCATTTAGATGATGCCTAATCCATGCATACACATATACGTCCATCGAGTCTGTAACCCCCAAAACCGGAGAAAGCGATATACACAAAAAAGGATCGTATATATAGGCAAACAGCATGTGTATATGAAACATATACATCTATATCTAACTCGAGATGCTCCCCCCCACCCCCCAAGGATCCACCCTTTCCCTCCCAGTGGACCTACCACGCAATCTGCAGTGTACTCTCCCTGCCCAATGCAGGCCTAAGCATGTATAAGGATGCCGAGCACGAAAATAGTACTTACATGTGTTCTTGTTTCTGTTAGACTGACTCTGACCTCAATAGTAGGTCAGTATTGGTTGAATAGTTCACAGTGTGTGGTCTCGTGCTTAAATTTCGCTCATTGGTACTCAGTACTCACGTGGCGTACATATGTATGAGATTGTATGAGATACTAGATGTTCAGATAGCCATAATGCTTGTGTTTTTCGCATCGGTTAGAATTCATGTGCAGTTGTCATTGGGCATACATGTGTTGAATATTTCACAAGGCATTGTCTCACAGAACACATTCTTGAACACCAAATCTTCAACAAACACTGGTGTAGCTTGCTTGTCGCAGTCATACAAACGAAAAACAATCAGCGGTTAAGTCCTACATATAGGACGTAAAAGGCGAGACCGACCCTTCCAGAAGCTGCTAGACACCCTTGACGCCCCGGTTCAGGCGAAGGCGAAGAAGTCACGACCGGAAGCGGTAAACACCCTTGAACGCTGAGGCCAACAAGAAGCAATCCACCCCCCCCCCCCCAAACATCATCAAACTTTTTGCTTCCCCCCTCTGAACGCCAGCAATCCAAGGTCGTTAAAGACACGCCTTCGGTCCGGTCCCGTGTCCCTTTTCCCGCGTGAACGCAGGCCTTTGAAGAGTGATACCGACACATCTGCTTAGAGGGTTGTTGGCTGCTCCGATACACCTTGTTAAAGGGTTTGGGGGCTCAGATACAACTTCCTAGGTTTGTTGGGCCTCAAAATAAGCCTCGCAAGCAAATCCCATCAAAGATCTAGCGCATCACGACAAATTCTCTGGCCGATACGACGTCTTAAACGGTTTCTCTCTCTCTCTCTCTCTCTGCCGTTGCATCCAGCGGGTCTAGCAGCGCTAGGCAACGCGCGCGCGTGAGGGCCTAAACGGTTGCCGTGCCGTTATTTTCTCGACTAATCCAGCATCCACAGCTGCGTGCATGATCAAGGTTACACGGTTACATCCAGAGTCATTTCCCCCATGTAAACGCTTGCGGGAACGACTTCTCTGGAATCGTCCACCAGTGACTACAAGGATCCGAGCAGAGTGGGAGCGACCAGGGGGTACGGGAGGAGACATCAAAACCCCTCTTGGACGCCAATCGCACTGACTTTAGCTAAAGTGAATCCCCAGTTAGATTCTTGATTTTATTGGAACGCATCGACTTTCTCTGTTGACAGTACTGAGCATGCGAAGTATGAATATAGAGCCGACAGATAAGGGTCATAAACTGCAGTGAATGAGCAACCGTTTATTGTTAGATAGTAAATATCTCTGCAGTTGATAGTCGTGGAATTTTGATTTAAGGTTTGTATCAACTGTATCAACATCACATGTCAAATTCATGTAACTTGAAGGCTAATTGAAATCTTTTCCGTTCTGCGAAGTGGAGAAGTAGACATATTAATGCGCAAAACTGAACATCGTGTGTTGGACGAAAATGTATGTGAGGCTTACAAAACTAAAATGTGACCGTGAAGGAATCCTATGTGAATGCCATATGCTAGGCGCAGAATCGTCCAATGTTGCTCTGGTTGAAGACACTTCTTTCGTGAGGGGCATGAGAAGCTCGGGGGTGGCAGGGGTATACAGAAAACTGTGCCAACGATTACATTGACATAGCAGTAGCACTTCGGAGTTAGGGAGCTGGACAGTGGGCCTGAAAAACTCATCGTCAGTAAACTCATCGTCATCTTTGCTCAGGGTCCCATCGCCATTCGGATTCCAGGCCCCCCAAGTGCTGGCCCTGTGATCTCTCATGAAATGGACAGCTGGATTGCCCGTGATTGCGGACAAAGCCCAAGACATTTGGCCACCTGCAGCAAGCATAGCATATTGCAGCAACATGGAGGGTTGTATGGGCCTTTGTTCAATTATGCACTTGTGGTCCGCACCTTCGAGCTTGTTGTAGCCGCCGTACAGCTTTGCAAAGGCTTTCTCCATAAGAAGTGCCCACATCTCGTTGCTGTTTGCTTGTGCGAACCGTGGCTTGAGCGTGCCAGCATGGCAGGGAATCAACTCATCGATGACGACGACAACCCACTGTGTACCCTTCCGCGATTGCACCTTGGGCTGCGTCTCTTCCTATGAGGTCATCAACATCCAGGCAGCATATAACATGAAGCGTGTAGGCGCGAACTGAATAGTAAGCCTCGCACTTGGTCCCTCAGTTGCAATGACTCACACATGCCACGAGCCGACTCATTGCCATGGGAGGAAGTGCTGTGCAGCTGTGATTCCAAAGGCGGATCTTGTACTTGCCCCGAGGGTCGAAGGATTGCGTCAAGAATGCTTGCTGTAGAATTTCCGGTCTTTCTGCCACGCAAGCCTGCACATTCAACAATCCGCAAGTGCCCAGTATGTACCTCCCAGGTCCCAAGTCAATCTAAGCCAGGAAGCTAGCGCGGCAATCCTTATTTCCGACAGTCCGCAGCATGCTTGCGAGTATGGATACCTCGCAATACCTTGCATTGCTTGTGGAATCTGGCCGGGTCGCAGCCAGCAGTCGCCCAAAGCTCCCTACAGGGACATGGCATTTTTGGAACAGCAGGTTGGGAACTGTTGCACTGGGCCCTCACAATCACCACATCACCTGCAGTTGTTGATCTGCACAACCCCGTCTTCTTCATACTTCAAGCCGTCACCCATATTGTGTCACAGCCCACCCTGAATCCGAACTCCGTACAAACAAAACACGGGTTGCTGACGCCAAGAGCCTCGCACTTTGATCATGAACTCCTCCACCGACATGTTTTCGGATGCACCATCGTCTCATGTCCATGTGATATCGTAACCACCGACAGCAGACATCCCTAGTCACAGTCGCCCTGAATGCACAAGATGAAGAACCCGATTCTTACGATTCTTCTAAAAGGGTCATATCGAAACACCGGAACGTACTGGCAGCTGTATGAAAACAGGCTGCGAAGTCATACGGGTGAAGATCTGTGCACCCCCCCCCCCCTCGACCTGCAGCAGGTCGGCGGCATCAATGCTGCCTTCGAAGAGCTCGGCACCACGCGCCTCGTGGCTATCCTTCTCAAAGTAAATCGGCATGCTTGGAGTAGGATCAGTAGTCGTGTGGTGTGCCTGCCTTACAAACTTGCGCAGGGCTTGTCCGACCGAAGGGCCAATGAGGCTTCTAGGTTGATGGGGTTGGGACTACTCGGACTGCGCCATGCTTTTCCACCTGCATAACATTGCTGCGGCACACTCGCACAACTGTCCTTGCCAGCGATCTCAGAGGCCTTGCGCCAATCAGTTCGGCCCCCCTGGTGCAAAACACCCGCAGCCTGGGAATGCAGCAGTTGTCCCTAAAACAGCTTCCACTAGAAAACTCCAGTAACCGCCTCAAAACCGTCACAGACCAGTCGCCGTGTCACCCTGGAGCTGTCCAAGGCTTTGGTCGCTTGCGGGAAAGTCTGCATCCTCCCAATCCCGCAGTTTACAGAGTTTACGGCGCACGTCACGCCGCACGGCACATGCATCTCCACACATCTACGACGTCGCGTCCTCAAAGTCATCCCAACAGCAGCCCTTTGTACAGGAAGGCATGCACAGGAAGGAGACATAGCTGTGGCAGCACGCACAACAATAGATGCGTATAGCGTTGTATATCCTTAGCTGCCAATTGCGGCGGCGGTGCTAGGAATTGATTGCTGCAATAGTTTGGGACGTTTGGGCTGGGGATGACTGAAGGGTGGGCATTGCCTCCAAGTGTCATAACAAATGGGCAGCAGAAAATGCGGTAGAAGATGCATCCTCTCCCATCGCAAACCTGCCGGGTCGAAATTACTGGCTTTAGACATGGAGTTGTGCTGGGCACAGTCGGGCACAGTCCACGTTGTAGCGACCCTCGTCGGCAAACGCCACCGCTGCCAGAAATCCAAAAGGAGCAGTTGCTGCTCGCTTCACGACGAAGCACTTCATTCGGCTTACTCTCTGGAAAACTAAAGTAACTCAAGAAGTGGACCCTTTGCTCCAGGCACCTCCGGCCAGCATAGCACGTACGGCTGCAACCACTTTGCACCAGAGAAATATGCACAAGCAGCAATGATGGCATAAAGCACAGCGAGGGCCAGGAAGGCCTGAAGCGAAGTGCATGCGAAGTGTATTCACGACTCAGTTCGGGTCTTGTGCATGAAAACCTGTTGAGCATCTGGCGCTACCAAAACGGAAGAGAATCATGAAGTTCGACATGCCAATGCCGAAGAAGGAAGAGCTCTGAACATCAGAGATGCTCATAGAAGAGATGGAGATGTGAGGTGTGAAAAGCCCCGCAAAACTCGAGCGACGCGCGGATTCCTGCAGGGTAGCAACAGCTGCAGCTTCTGGCTCCACATGTTCACGTTGTTCAGCGGATGTCCTGAAGTCCCTTTGCAAGGCTCTGTTGGGCAGCGGCTGTGTCGGGGACATTGCCTGTCCCACTCACGAGGAATTCAACTCCAGCTTGTACCGGGAACCACGTGGAACTCTTCGGAGTAAAACCTCACAGGGTCTCAATCTGTCTCGTTCACAGGAACAGAGAACATCCGGAGTGAGCTGGCCTTCGAGGTCTTTGTTCGCCATGAAGGCAGATCTCATCCAGTCACCCCACTGTGACCACTTCTGCTGATCCAAGCCTGTGGCGGAAAAGTTGTCAACCACGAGAAAAACGGATTCATGTTGCTTGGACGCTGCAGCGCTCTTCGTGCCAGAAATTACACACAAGAAGTGCGGGAAAGGCAACGGAACCCGGCGCCTTGCACTGTGAAGGCCAGCATAGTCAGCTTCGAACTTCGATCCGCGGGCAGTGCACACCTGTACAAGTCCTGCACTGTACCGTGTCGAGATTGAAGCGATATTGAAAGCATTTGTAGTGCAAGTGGCGCATGCACTCTCTGCAGCAAGCAAGAGAAAACTCCACAAAAACTTGAATAGCTCCTCACGCAGGGCCACCTTCAAAGCATCGTCGTTGAGGGCCCCAACTGCTGCGTGGATGCGACTGCGGCACGGCCAATTGTTGGCCTTGCAGTAATGCAGCTGGCCAAGGGGGCAGGGTGAGGGGTAGCGTCGAGTCCCGGAGCGCCAACAAATGGAGTTATGTAAGCACAAGTGCCAGAATGGATGCTGGACTCTGCTAGCCTTATTTATTTAGCTGATGCTAGAGTATCACCTGCGGCCAGCAAGTTGCCAGAGTCTGCAGGACCTTGAACCTAATTTTTAGGCTGAGCCTGACCCTCACCTCTGGCTCCTGTACTCTGCTGCAGCGAGGCACTCCGCACAGCTTCGGCGCATTCAGCGAAATTGAGCCATCAAGAGATATCACTTCAGCATCAGGCGAAGACAGTCCACATGCCTGCATCACCTGCAGATGACCCGGCCAGTGGATGCGTGACCCGCTGCGTGACTACTGCAGTTTGTGTTCTGGTGCTGATGCGTCGGTTGCCTGCGCTGACCACTTTGGCTGCGCACTCGCTGGCAGGAACAACAAAGGCGAAGCCAGGAACCACATCCGGGGCATTGCGCTGATGAACATCTTGGCACTACTAAGGCATACACGAAATTCCGTGCACGGAGTGTTGCAAATCAATATCGTCAAATGCCCATGAGGGAGACTTAGGAGACATGCTTAGATGACTCAGATATGACCGGTGAGGTGCTTTGTCTCTGAAAGCATCAAGCGAGCAGTCGAGCTGCAGACTTTTCCGTTCAATGCCTGCCCATCCAACCCGAGCTCAGGTCAGGACCGAGCTGCTGGCTTTTCTTGTCCTTTCGGTTCAGCTTTTCGGGTCAGGTTGGCCAAGCCCCCTCCTTGATGGCGCCTGGTCGGGTTGCAGGTTCTTCCTTTCGACAGACCACATTGGAATCTTGGTGCACGGCGCGAACTCAAGGCGGAGTTTCTGCAGTTCTTCCTTCACAGCCTGAGGAGTCGTCAACCATGTAACATTTTCGCCACAGGACGATCCTGTCATCCTAAAGAGTTCCACCTGGTAGGTCAGTTCGTGCTTTGCTCGAGCCTGCCAGGAGGGCTCTCAAGTCGTCAACTCTTACCCTGCATGAATAGAAAAAGCGAGCGGCATCGAACCGCGAAGCCTTCAGGTCGAGCAACCTCTGTCGCAGCTTCTCGACGTCCTGTGGATGACGTGCCTAAGTCCGCATCGTGTCCCGGAGGTTCTAGCACTAGCAAAGGCACAGACGGCGATCTGCTGCGACTACGACATGATCGTTTAGAGCTCGCTAAGTGCTCGTCATATCCTCAAGTTGTCCGGAGCTGCCCGCTTCCATTCAGCAAAGCTTCAGTGACAGACCGGACAAAGCCCTGAGCATAGTCCGTGCAGTTCAGCATGACCTGCGATTTGATGTGCTGCGTCGTTTGCCAGTTGCAGCCAATCGACACCCTGGCTTCGCTCTTGTTTCTGCATGTACGCAACGCGCGATCACAAATCCACTGGAATGACGATGTTGCTCAAGGCCCCCTCAGCTGGCCCTGCTTCAGATCCTGCAGCTTGTGACTCCTGTGTGCAGGTTTCGAGCCCACTCTACCAGATATGCAACAAGCAAAACAGCAAAATTATCATAGTACGGCAATCCCTCCCGAGTCACCTATTCAGTCCAAGAGTCAGTGCTGTAACCTTCTCGTTCTTGTCATTGTGCACCTTGTGGAACTCTTGCTGGAGCCGGTCCACTTCCTGTTGTGCCTTCTCCTCCTTCTGCACATTCATCTGCACAGGGTCTTCCCATTGCTTGGGGAAGTAAAGACGCCGGTGTGACCAAACGGGAAAGTTGGCAAACCAACTGTTATACGGATAAGTTGCAGACAAGTCACTTCGTACATCCTGGTTTCATAAGCCAGCTGCTCCCTTAGACGTCTGTCTTGCCATTCTGCGCACTGTTAGTCTGCAGAACACATTGCATCCCATTCCGTGAAGAATCTGTGCTTGCTTCTTCTCCATAGTCTGAAGCCGTAGAGAGGCCTGAACAGATGGGACTCCACTTCAATGATTCAAGACTTCAGGGAAGCGATGCAGGCAACAACCGGCCTCCTCCAGTTTTGCCTGCTCTTGTCGGAGCTGACTGTCGAGCTGTGTGGCCTGGCGTGTCCTGGGCGGGGTTGCTACTTAGAAGGGCGACAAGGCTGATTCTCCCACAACGAACCCAGCTAGCCGGAGGCTCTGCTGTCGCTGGCTTTCTTTCATTGCTTCGATTGCCCGCTGCCTGGGATTGGGCGTGACAGACACGATACGGAGTGCAGCCCTTCAATGTCTTTTGCTTCCGAACAAAAAAGGTTTAGTTGCTCAAACATCCACTTGGCTCTTGGAGTTGTGCCCGAGACGCATGTTGGACTGCTTGGTCTGGTCTTCCTTGAGGCGCTCCGTAACATCCCGTTTCATGTGGTCGATGACCTTCCTCGCGTTCCAGAGTCGAAGAACGACAGCTGTCTCTTGTCTCTGTCTTTGTGTGTGTGTGTGTGTGTCTGTCTGTGTCTGTGTGTGTGTGTGCGTTGTGTGCGTCTGTGTGTGTTGTGTGCGTTGTGTGTGTCTGTGTGAGTTGTGTGATTTGCGGGTTGTGTGGGTTGTGTGCGTTGTCTGTGTGTGTGTGTGTGTGGTGTGTGTGGTGTGTGTCGGTCGTGTGTGTCTGTGTGAGTTGTGTGATTTGCGGGTTGTGTGGGTTGTGTGCGTTGTCTGTGTGTGTGTGTGTGTGGTGTGTGTGGTGTGTGTGGTGTGTGTCGGTCGTGTGTGTCTGTGTGAGTTGTGTGATTTGCGGGTTGTGTGGGTTGTGTGCGTTGTCTGTGTGTGTG